TAGTCCCTGAACTCGAAGACCTGGGTTTTGCTTCTGGAAGCTTGTGGCCATCAGGGTTTCATCTGGAGAGAGGAGTAAGGGGGTAGGGGCTGGAGATGTAGGCACATTTTCTGCTTTTCTGGCAGGATGAATACTCCACAGAGATGGGTTTCATGGACCTAATGGAACCCCGGGACCTCATGCTTGCATCCCCTATCCCTACCCCTCCCTGCAAGGCAGGTCCCCCAAGGGCCTCAAGGATCTGCCCAAGCTTCTCCAGCCCTAGGCCAAGGTCAAGAGCTGGCTCGGTCCTGAATAGGAGGAACCCAGTCTGGTTCCCACCCAAACAAGCATTCAGTTTACTCCTCCCTTGGAGGGAGGGACCAGTGCCTGTCTGCCCTGTTCAGGGAGATGGCTGGGGCCCTTTGCCCCCTCTAGGAGACCAGCCCTTCCTGAGCCCCGGGCTATCCTGAGAATTGGTAGAACTTCCACACCAGTGACCTCAAAGAGAAGCCAGTCTTCCTGCTACATGGTTCTGGGAGGGAGCCACCAGGTCCTTCTTGGAGCTTCCAATGTCCCTGTCTGCAGGCCAAGCAGAGCCCAGGGCTGCGTTGAATCCTCTGAGGATAAGCCCGAACTCTTCCCAGCGTTCTTAGGAGCTCTGCCAGATGGGGGGGGGGGGGGGTGGAATTTCACCACATCCCTCCCTTGCTCTGCCCCGTTGAACCCCAATGAAAGCTGGTGAAGGTGGAGTGAATTCTGGGAGGCGTCCTCAACCAAGAGACTCGCCCGTGGTCCCGGGCCTACTCCTTTGGATACTGGGCATTGTGTCTTCCTGTCCCTTCCCCAGGGTGGCCCAGGGAGTGCATATAACTCAGCTCCTTCACCCAGTTCCCCTTGCCTTCAGCAGGAGATGCTGTGTTTTCTGTGGTCTTCAGAGGTTCCTGGTCTCCAACCTGCCCTCATACCCACATCTTCCTCAATCCCTGGCAACCACGGGTCGATCTCCATTTCTTGAAATGCACTTGTTAGCTTACTTGGGGGGCCCATCTGGCAGTGCTTGGGGCTTACTCCTGGCCCTGTGCTTAATGGCAGGGCTCAGGGACTGTGTGTGGTGGCAGGAATGGAACCTGGGCTGGCCGTGTGCAAGACGAGTCTTTTTCCTGCTCTACTCTCTCTCCCTTCCTGTTCTCCCTCTTATATTTTTATCCTTTTAAGAATAGTATATCAGTGCAGTGGTATAATCTATCACCTTTTGTGTTTTCTTCCCCAAACACGATCTTGTAACCGTAATCCAGATTGATGTGTGCCGTGTCACTGCGTTTCTTTCAGTTGCTGAGTATTGGGTGCTCCAGGGCTGATTCACTCACTTCCCTGCTGAGGGACCTCAGGGTTGTTACCGGGTTCATCCATGACAGATAAAGCTGCTGTACACATGCATGCGCTGTTTTTTCACATAAACTTGTTCTTTTTTTTTTTTTTGGAGGGACTTCTGTTAGCGATGCTCGGGGTTAACTTCTGGCTCTGTGCTCAGACATCACTTCCGGTGGGGCTCACGGGACCCTCTGGGCTACTGGGGATCAAACCTGGGTTAGCTGCATGCAAGACAAGCACCCAACCCACTGTCCTGTAAACTCGGGGTCACTGCTCTGGGATTGTGACTGAGTATGATCATTGTAATCAGTTTTCTAAGAAACTGCCAGAGTCTGTGCCCATTTTCAACTCCCACCAGTAAATTTATGGACCAGCTTCTCTGCAGATTCTGAAGTCCTTGTAGCCTCACTCTTCCCTGCCTTCCGCTCGCTTTCGTTGCTGTTGCTGCAGTGGCTGGGGTGGGAGGGGTCACACTCTTGCTTTTGGTGCTCATACACTGAGTGTTGCTGCTCACTTGGGGCTGCCTGCTGGGGGCGCTGTGGCTGAAGATCTCACATGATCGTTGTGGTACCAGGGGTCCCATGGCAGTGCCCCCGGGATCTCCCTCAGTGATTGGGGGGAGGGGATGGCAGTACTGGTGCATGGCAGGCACTTGACCACAGGACCAGGCTCCATTTATTTTAGCAGCGCTGCTAAGTATGCAGCCAGATCTCACTGTGGTTTTGACTTAAATTTCCTTAATAGCCACCGATGCTGAACCTTTATTAAGGGGCATAAAGATGTGTTCGTGGCTTCTCCCAGGCAGTTCTCTTATTCCCCATGTTCTACTTGGAGGCTTTTAACTGTTGAGTTTTAAAAATTGAGATACAGAGCTGGGGCTGCAGCTCATCAGGAGAGCACTAAAGCCTTGCAGGTGTGAGGCCCTGGGTGTGATTCCTGGCACCGCAAAAAGGGAGGATACGTGATGAGATACAGCAATAGGCTGAGCACAGACTCTATGTGCAGGACACCCTGATTCCATCCCTGCCACCACCACGAGCAACATCTGAGCACAGGGCTGGGAGTAGCCTTCCTGGGCACTGCCAGGTTCTCAAACCGAAAACTACAAATACAAATCAATAAAATTGAGATGCAATTCACATACGATGATTCATCGCTTTTAAAGGTCCAGTTCTGCTTTTTCAGTGTATGCACGAAGTCACGCAACCATCACCAGTTCGTCCAGAACATTTTCATCATCCCATTAAGAAATTACAGACCCATCAGCTGTAAGTCCTGGAAAATTTGCCAAGAGTCTCATTAGCTCTGTAGAACTGTTGCCATTTGGCAACATTCAGTGTTTAGGATTCATGAATATGGAATGATTTTACATTTATTTAGATTTTCCTTTTGTTTTTGAGCCACTGGAGGTGCTCAGGGACTGGTCCCTTTGAGGTCATTCCTGTGTTTTGACAATCACGTGATGCTGGGGGTTGGACCCAGGCCTCCTGCCTGCACTCAGCCTGCTGAGGTCTCTCTCCAGACCCTACAGTCCTGTTTTATTGTTTTCAGTGTATCCATGTTTATTGCTTTTGTTAAAATTCATTCATTTCCCATCCCCCCTTTTCTTTGTTTTTGATGCCACTCTGCCCAGGGGTCACTCCCAGTGGTACTCAGGGAAAGTTTCAACCCTGGTTTCAACCCTCAGCTTCCAGTGTGCATGGGAAGCCAGCACTTGGCCTGTTGAACTCCTCTCTCTGGTCTTTTTTTTTTCATTGCTAGATGATGTTGGAATTATTTTCTTGACTTTTGATTGTGATACTGTTATATAAAAATACAGCTTTTAAAAAAATGTTGGTCTTATAGTCTGCATGCTTGCTGAACTCATTTATTAACTCAATTGCGTGTATGTATGGACGTTAGGATTTTCTAGGTGCAGTCTTTTACAATTTGCAAATCAGCATAGTTTGTCTTCTCTTTTCCAATCTGGATACCTTTTCTTTCTTTCTTTTCTTTTTTCACGTGTTCTGGATGCCACTCCCATTCACAGCTGGTGAGAGCAAGCATCCTCTCGTTGGCCTTCTTCAGAAGGGATGGTCTTAATCACTAAAGATGACATGAGCTTGCTTTAAGACTGGGGGTGGGGGCCGCACCTGACAGTGCTCATAACTACTCCCAACTCTGTGCTCAGTGTTGGTCCTGGCTATGCTTATGGGAACCATGTGGTACCAGATATTACATATGGGCCTCCTGTATGTAAAGGAGGTGCTCTAGCCCTTTGCTATCTCTTAAAACTTCTTTTTAAGATCCTTAAAGTTCTTTTATTTTACAAATGACATAAAGCTCAAATACAGTAAGATAGGAAGAAAATAAAAGCTCCTCAAATCGCACGCCCATCAGTAGACACTCTCAAATTTTTTCAACCCACATATTCGTACATGAATTATGTAAGTGAGCTTACTTAAGTAGGATCTGTTTTGTGACATTTTTTTCTCTCTGCTCAATACTGTATCTTGACCATCTTTCCAGGCCTGTAATCAAGAGTTACATCATGTTATAGTAGTCCCGGTTCTATCTTATGGTTGAACTGTTGCTCATTTTAGCAACTCCTTCTTTTTCTAATTGTTTTTTTAGTTTTTTAATTGAATCGCCGTGAGATAGAGCATTACAGAATTGTTCATGATTGCGTTTTAATGTTCTAACACCCATCCCTCTATCAGTGTAATTTCCCAGCACCAGCGTCCCCCGTTTCCCTCCCACCCCTTCAAGCCACCCCCCACCCCAGCAACTCCTTCTTGATGCTAAAATTGCCTTCCTCTTTTTTGCAGGGTTATTATAAATGAGTGTGCTGCAACCCGTCCAGCCCTCTGAGTTAGTGTGTTGCCAGGTTTCCCCATTTTCTGGTGTGGTGGTTTGGGATCTGATGACATGGTGCTTTGCATTATATCTTCTCCGGGCCTCAGTTTCCTCATGTCTAAATTAAAGAGATGAATCTAAACATTTGGTTATTAATTCTGGCTGCATATTAGAATCACCCCAGGAGTTTGTTGTTTTGCTTTTTGGGTCACATCCAGCGATGCTAAGGGGTTACTCCTGGCACTGCACTCAGGAAGTACTCCTGGTTGTGCTCGGAGGACCATATGGGATGCTGGGAATTGAACCCGGGTCAACTGCATGCAAGGCAAACGCCGTACCACCTGTACTACTCCAGCCCTGCACCCCAGGAGTTTTTTTTTTTTAATGTAGGAGTTCTGCTATTTATCCAGCCACTGATTAGGCTGATTGAGTTGACCACACCCCAGGAGTTTTAAGGACACACCTGAGTCTGAGCGATTCTAAGTGCTGGGTATGGCCTGAGCAGCAGAAACCTTCAAATCTCCATAGAACTGGATGCTTCGAAGTTTCTTTCTGTTCAGATATTCTAGGATGACTGGGCAGTATCTGTGTTAGGTGTCAGCAGCTATGGCAGGCAAGGTCTGTCCTAGGTTTGAATCGCTGCTGGTTCATTTCAGGCTCTGATACCCTTCGGATACCTGGCTCGGATTTCTGTTCCCTGCCCTTGGAGGGGGTGGGCATCTGATCCCTGCCCTCTGCCCAGTTCCTGCTTCAGAGGGATTTAGGTCCTGCACAATGGCATAATTGTTCATCACTGCTTTTTTCTTGATCAGAGCCAGCCCCTGGGCAACAAAGTGGAAATGGAGATTGTGAATATGTTGGAAAAAAACTCAACGCTTCTCAAATTCGGCTACCACTTCACCCAGCAGGGGCCCCGACTGCGGGCATCCAATGCCATGATGAACAACAACGACCTGGGTAAGTGGTTTGCTGAGCCCCACCGACCGCCTGTCCTTCATCCGCTGGAGTCAGGCAGGGCATATTTCCCTGCTGTCTGAGCCCTGGTTTTCACAATAATCCCATTTCCTTGTTTCCTACTTTAGCGCCTGTCCTTTTCTGCAGGAGGGAAAGTCAACTCACTCCTCTAGATAGCAGTCCTTGCCCTGCCCACAAGCCCAGCCCCACCCCGCAAGACTCAGGCCCCTTCCACAAGGCCCAGACCCTGCCCACTGTCCCATTTTTGTGTTTTTAGGGGAAAGGCCACACTGGTGGTCCTCAGGGCTTACTCCAGGTTCTGTGCTCAGGGATCACTCCTGATGGGGTTTGGAGGGCCCAAACTTGGGTTAGCCACATGCAGGGTGAGCACCCTACCCCACTGGACTCTCTCTCTGCCCCCTAAATTGAACTTCCCATGAGCCAGAGTAGAGCTCAATGCTTGCCTCTATGCAAAGGAAAGCAGGACTGAAGCAAGTAGACTGGACAGCCTCTGGTTGGCATTTGAAGTGATTCACAGGAGTCCAAACTACCACGGGCTTTCCCAGTGAATGCTAAATCTCGAAGAATGACAGACGTCAGGCTCTGACTAAAGTTTGTGCGCGGCTTCCCCAGAGCTGCCGTGAGTAGGCAGGGTATGGGTGGACAGTGGCAGGACTCACATCTTCTCCCTCATTCCCTCCCCAGTGAGGAAGAGGAGATTGGCAGACTTGAATGGGCCCATCTTTCCCAAGTGCCGGAGTGGTGTCTAGTGTCTGGAGGTGGTGGCCACGCCTTTGAACTGGACATGCTCTACTGATGACCTGCGTTCTGCAGTGGAAACCAGAAGGCACGCTGTCGGCACAAACCCCTTCTGTGGTTCAGTTCTTTATGCACTAAGGTTTTAGGTTAACTAGTGGTTGTAGATGAGAATTTTATAAACTATGGTTAATGTGAAGTTTTTCTTTAGTCACAGAAGTTTAGTTTGGTTATTATTTAAAAACTAAGAAGCCCCCACACTGGCAGATCTTATTGAAGACGATGGTACCCTAGCAGTGACTTAATCCAGGGTGTACTTCAGTGGGCTTGCTGTGTGCTGTTTGAGATGCAGTGCAGTCGCCCAGCCTATGAATCAACAGCACACTCCTCCACATGCTTCAGCAGCATTACAAAATTCTTTATTACAAATCTGACCTTAGTCATTGAGCTAACTGAACAGACAATCATTCTGAACAGATCAAGACTCCTCCAATCTAAAGAAACCCGAGACTAAATTGCCGATTGCTGGATCGAGAATAGTTTTGTCCCTTGAGACAAAAAGACTAACCCACAGATTCTTGATAGGAATGAAACACACACACACACACACACACACACACACACACACACACACACACACACCAGATTGTTTGCTGGATAAGGAAAAGTTGCAGAAATATTCAGTGGTGAAATTTCATGGGTCTCCCCGAGTGGTGTTCTTTATTTATTTACAATTATATTCTGGAGTCAGTTTTATCAAGAGCCATCTGTATGAGGGGTTCAAGTACCTGCAGCCAAATACTTGCAGTTCCGTCTGTCCTGCACAGCAGTGGGCACGAGGCCGTCAGAGGCAGTGCGCCAGAAGGGGCATATCTGCTCTGTCCTGCTGTGCTCAGACTCCAGCTACCATCACCAACACCCACTAGACAAGTCACTGCTGATCTCAGGTCTATCCACGAGGCTTTGGCACACCCAATGGTGAAGGAAATCCCAGATAGTCAAGAATCGGGAAATCATTCTGGCCAAACCACCCCAAGTCCACCATCCTGAAAGGTAATTTTGGTATTTCTGCCAGCCCTTTTTTATTTTTATTTTTTTTTTTTGGTCTTTTTTTTTCTTAACATCATGTGCATCTCTGGAGATCTAGCGAAAATATTAAGCCACAACGCCCTTGTGCCTTTTAATGTACCACAGTGCCAGTTAAACTAGCCTTTTTGTTGCTTAGGGAGTTCCTTTCGTGAGCGAGTCAGCGAATCTTACCCAGGCCGGGCCAGCGCTGCTGAGCAGCCTGAGTCGCAGGGCACTGAGCGGAGGCTTCCAAGGAGACGGGGAGTTCTGCATACTGAACTGTAACGCCAGGGAAGGTACAGGGGAAGCAGAGGTGGTCCCGGGGCCTCACCGCTGCAGTGGGTTGGCGGGGCCCAGGCACGCCGCCACGCTGCAGGGATGGCCAGCCCCACCGGCTTCTCTTTGAAACACGACTGCAGCTGTATTCTGCATCACTGGAAACGGCAATATCCTATTAAACCTGTTGGTCTCTGTGTGCCGTGCGTGTGCTTTGTGGAACTTGTGTGACAGGGCCGCGTGGCCGAGGTGTCGGTAGGTGAGAGGGCTGGGAAACTACCCTGGCGGTGCTAATGGGCCTGAGCGTGCACCTTGTCTCTGGGGGCCTCTTGGACACCGAGTGCCCCAACATCTGCCCCAACATCGACATCCCTGAGCTCACTGGGGTCTGGCCAAGTCTTCAGAGGTGAGAGGGCAGGTACGTGGTGGGGGGGGGGGGGGAGGGTTCAGAGGGAGCAGGGCTGCCGGGGAAGGCGGGACATCTCTCCTGGAAGTGGAACGATGTACAAAGAAGGCAGGCCGCGCCTCCAGACCTTGGGCTCCATCAGATGAGCTGCTGCCAGAGTGGCGGTTGGACGGCAGATGGGCAAGTGGCCCGGGCCACTGCTTCATGCTTTTGTCACGTGCAGTCCAGGCAGAAGGGCAGATGGCCCAGGCCAATGGCCTCGGGTTTTTGTCGCACACAGTCCAGACCCCCTTATTGCCGACCACTAGCATGGTGCTGCTATGGGTCCGCAGAGGCATACACACTACGTGCCCGGCTCGCGGCAGTCGCCCTCAGCGTCTTTGGGGTCCCGTACAACACCCCATTTCTCCGGGCATCAGTGGTCTCAGGTATCTGGCCAGCCCCCAACGCCCACTCCCACACCCCTGGGAAGGACAGGGGACAGTTGGGGAGCGGTGGGCCCTGTTAGTCTCGGGCTGACTCGTCTCTCTTGCTGGCGGCCATCTCCTGCCTAGCTCTGGGAGGGCCCGGCAGGAGGCCACTGGGGCCCCTTTGGGCAGCACCCTGCCTCCTCACCCACACCAGACCTGGGCTCCGGGCCCGAGGGGGGCTGTGGCGGGGACAGACACCCTTCACTGGGAATGCGGGGCCGGCGGGCCGTGCACTCGCATTCCTCCTTAAAGGTGCTCCAGGCTGGCTTGGAGGCGAGCTGGTCCCCTTTGTCTTGACACCTGCCACAGCAGGCGGTGCGCCCCTGCGCCTGGCAGGCGGGACAGGTCAGGACAAGCTGGCGGCACTGGGGCGTTGAGCAGAGCTTGTACTGGTCCCACGGGGCTGCACAGTAGGAGCATTCTGGGCAAGAAAGCAGAGTGGTCAGCGACACACATGTTCCAGTGCATGCACCCCCTAGGAATTCCCCACCCCCCCAGCCCCACAGGGGTCCAGACACCTCTCTTCACCCATCCGACTCTCCAGGAGCCTCTGGGGCCTGGGGGAGGTTTCCAAACAGCAAGTCTCTGTTACCTAGTGACAAACTGCCCCACACCGGACTTTTCTGGGATGAGACTGTGTGGAAGGATTCAAAAGCCATTCCAGTGGGAATGTCAGAAAACTGGCGGGAATGTCTTTCCGTAACAATTCTCAAGCCGGCTAGCCCCTCTCATGCGGCGGCCTCTGCAGGTCACTGCCATCAGTGGGAGACAGGGCTATCTGAACACTTGGTGCCAGCTACCGGCAGCCCCTTCCCCACCTGGAGCCTTTCTGGCTGCAGTCAGCAGGCAATCAGTCCTGCTATGCACATGATCTACTCTCCCCACCTGTTTTCTCCATGAAGTCCAGCCACCGCGGACAACGCGGCCTCGACTAGCTTGGGGGGGTGGGGGGCTTTCCCTCCTTCCCGGTTCCCACGCAGCCCATGTGCCCAGTTTCTGGAAGCGCTTCCGCCCTGAAACCCCTTCAGTCTGCTCAGTGACTTGTTTAGGACTGAGGCTCCATCGAGCCCCTGAAAAAATCTGCAGGAGCTTGAAATGAGGCATACGTGAGACCACTCAAATAAAGGAGAGGACAGGGAAACTCACACTCACTGACTGCGTGATCCAATCAGTCCCTGATCACGGGTCTCATGGGAAACGGCTGCACCCACGTCCCCTTCCCTGTTCCAAACGGGGCCTCCAGGACCCACCATGACTTCCAGCTGGGGGTCATTCCTACCATGCTCTCCCGACCGCGCCCTCCCAGCATGGCATGCCAGTGTGCACCCAACAGGGCGGGGAGCCAGCCACAGGCTCCCACTCCCGGTACTCGCCACCCCCGTGGCTCCCCGCCTCTGAGACTACAGAACACCCACCACCACGTCATATGCCCTCGGAACTAGGGGTTCTTGCTTTCATTCTGTGCTATCCACTGGCCTGGCACAGACTGGTGAAGACTAAGGGCAACTATTTTTTGAAATGCAGAAAGGACAGCAGAAACCAATTCTGTAATAACACAATATAATAATACCAAAAAAAATTTTTTTTTTAATATGTGTGGCATTGTGAGTTTTTTTTTTTTTGGTTGTGGCTGCTGCAGTGCATGGGGGACCCTATGTGGAACCAACACATAGGGGCAGCACGTTGGGCAAGCGGTCTACCCACTGTGCTAACCTTCCAGCCCAAGACTGCCCCCATTTTAAAGGACTTGCCCAACAAGTAAACAGCCAATGCTCCTAATACAGGTCTTCATGCCCCTGCCACTTCTCCCGGTTTTTCTCTGTAAGTGACCAGGGCTGGTTCACCTACCTCAACATGGTGACCTACTGAGGATACCTGGTCAAGAGTGCTGGGCCCAGGCTGACCTACCTGACACTACATCACTGTTGTAGCACAAGGCGTAACGCTCATCGAAAACAAACAGCTTCCCTCGGTAAAACCCATCCGGAAATTCTTCCAGATACTTGTGGATGCCGCCTTTGAGCTGGAACACTTCCTTGCACACGCCCTGTGTGAATGCCACAGAACACGTGCGGAGACCGGCCGAGACCAGACAGAGTGCCCCCCTCACCCACCCACCCCCCTCCAAGGGCTGTGTGCTGAGGACTGGAGGAATGCTGAAGAGGACTCTCTGAGAACTGCTGACCGAGGGGTCCTGGGACCAGCTGGGCGGGTGATGACAGCAGCCAGCGCCTCCCTTCACACTAGAGCCCCAGAGCCCAGCTCTTTTTTTTCTGTCCCCTAAATATAGGAAGACACCTGTTGGGACACGGAATGTTACCACATTTGTTCTTCTCAAGGTCAAGTAAAGGATTAGGGAAAAGAGGGACGTTAACTAATCTATCCCTTTTGTACCTGATGAGCTTCTTAAGAACGTTAAGTGCTTTTCCCATCTTGAGATCTGAGAACTTTAGATTTCATGCTTATAAACTCTAGGCTGGAAACTCTACAGGGGGAGAGTGAGCTCCTGGCTAGGGCAGGACAGGCCACAATGGCGGGGAGGCAACACACACACACACACACACACACACACACATACACACACGTCTCACACACACACACACACACACGAGTGGGGTTTTCTTCATTCACCTCCAGGCCTCCCATGCCCAAGGAAGGGTGTGACTTACCTTGGCTTTGAGGTAGGCTGAGCCCCGCTCACAACGGATGCCCCCAGTGCAATACATCAACACCCTCTTCTCTCTGAAAAGTTCTAGATTTTTATCAACGTAGCTTGGGAAGTAACTGAATTTTCTGATGTCTGGAGCTAGGCAGCCCCGGAACCGCCCCTACAATACAGAAGCAGCAGAAAGAGAAGGAAAGATGTCGGGCAGTAACTAAGGAAATAAGAAAATTGAGGGAGGGAGGGCGGGGAGAGGGGGCCACAGCGAAGGGACATACCCAGCTATGCTCAGGCCTTACTCCTGTCTCTGTGCTCAGGGGTCACTCGGACCATATATGGTGCCAGGGATGGAACCCGGGATGACCGTGTGCAAGGGAAGCGCCCTAACTGCTGTACTCTCCAAGGTTCTTTGTGTCTCCCCTTGCAAGGGCCATATGCTAGCTGCCCTTCCCATTCTGCACTCTGATATTTCGATTTCAAAATCTGGAGCTTAGAAACTAAGCTGATGGGCTCATGGACACCTCCTCAAAGTTCTCAGGAAAAGTGAAGACGCTGCTCAGAGACTTTACACGATCTTAGACACAGCAAGGGGAGGCACGGGAAATACACTGTGGCATATACACTGATTCCTGTGTTCTAGGAGTTTTCCACCAGAGTCAGAGTTCAGAGTCCAAAAAGGTAAGCATTAGGAGAACTGTGCAATTTGGTCATGGGAGGGGGAGGGAGCACGGGTACACACACACACACCCCAACCCCCCACCCCCCACCCCCCGAGAGTATGCCATTTCCAATATGTAGCTAGAGGGACAGTGAACATTTCACTGACTCAGTTCTTTATTTTGTGAGGCATGGTGGAATCTGGATCATACCTGGCAGTGCACAGGGCTTATTCCTAGCTCTGCGCTCAGGGATCACTGCTGGCAGGATTCAAGGGATCTGATGTGGTGCCAGGGATCAAGATGGCACTGGCTCTGTGCCAGGCAAGTGCCTTAACCCCTGTACTATTCTTACTTACTATTTTGCTTTCATAGAAGTTTCTGCAATCCAAGAGAATAGTATCACTTTGTTCCTGATTTTCCTGAGACAAAAACTTTTCTACTTCTTTATGAAATTCACCTGGGGATAAATGGATTCCTAAAAATAAACCAGAAATTAAAGTGAAAATCAATTTGAAAAACACCACCAAATGACTTGAATCGTTCTTAATAACCTCGAGAAAGGGAAGGATGAGAATACTCTGGTGCACGTCAGACTTCTTTGGCCCTGGAAGCCACATTCTTCCTGCAGCGGTATGCTTGTGTGTCTTTTCAGCTGATGAATGACTTGCAAGCAGTAATTACACACCTCTCAAATTGCTATCTTTGGGAAAAGAAAACGAAGTCTTGCCAAACCATCAAGAAGACAGGTCAAAAAGATGTAATTTCAGTCACCATAGCACCAGAGAGAAGTGTGGGAGCATTGCGTGTTAGCCGTGCCCAGCTATTTGAAAGAGAGGCTTCATCACAATTCTTACGAATCATTGTCTAACTTTCCCGTTTGTCTACAGATTGTTCTGTTCCTATTAAGAAAGGCAAACGTTCTCTTTTAAAAGCAAGCATACCAGGCTTCTTGTAGGAGATCTCATTGGGATGAATCCCCAGGGGCACAATTTCCTCAAACACACCAACACGCAATTCTGGAAAACAGCAAGCTCCTCCTTTGCTGGTCTGGCCAATAAAAAACAAGGTAGCATACAGTCATCTTCTCTTGCCTCCAGATATGAGGCAAGCCACCAAATGTAAGTATTACATCTGTTTTGTAATAATGCAATTAGCTAATCTCGAGACCTCAAATTGGGAGTAATTTTTTTGACATGAGAAAGGACTTTCTGGCATGTGGCAAATAATTCGACATTAACACCTCCCATGCTCAAAAACGTTAGGCATATTTTTGTTTGGGGGCAACAACTCGCAGCAATGCTCAGGGATTACTTCTGGTGGTGCTTGGGGGAGCATACCCACAGGATGCTAGAGATCAAACCTGAGTCAGCTACAGACACGGCAAGCTCCCTACTAGCCATACTGTCTGGCTTTTAAAATATTTCTCTAGCTGTAAGCACATTAACTATAAATCTAAAACGCTTTGAGGCCCTTTCAGCACATAAGTTAAGTCCGGCTTTGGTTTGGACCCCGGCCCTTCTCCCATCCTCACCAGCACTGGCTACAGCAGTCTCTCCCACCACCTTGTCTTTCTCACAGTGACACACAGACCAAGTGGCTCAGCTGTGAGAACAGCTTTATATTACTCCCCTATTAAGTGCTTGTCTTCACTCCAAGCCAAGCATGGCGAGCCCCGGGAGGAGGCAGGTCTCTCTCAAGTGAGGGGACACACTCAGTTCGAGAGTTCAGACCGTGTGAGCTGGAACATCCTTATTCCCTAATGGAGACTGAGGGTGACAGTGGACTGAGCAGATCCCTGACTGCCTGAGATGCCAGTGGAAGAACAGGAATGAGCACGCTCCTTCTGTACTGACCCTCGTCCATGGGGACGGGAGAGAGGTCTATTCAGAGCTGCTAATTTTCCCTAGCAAGCTCCTCTACACGGCCTAGCAAGGACAGAGGACAGGGGCAGAAGAAGTGAGCTCTAAGCCCACTTTACTTCCAATTCTCTTACCTTAAAATCGTCCTGACACAGATAATCCTTAAACAGCGGGAAGGAAAGCATGGCTTCCATGTAGAGCCTGGTGGCTAGTTTGCTTCCACCTACGGTTCCATTGATTCCTTCTGTACCAATTCGAACCTGAGACACGAGACAACAAGACAAAGAGAATGTAGCCAGCTCTTAGTTTCAACTTGCTCAGGCCAGAACATGCTCTTGTGTGTGAAACAGGTAAACACAAAGACCCCATGGAGGCAGCACTGTGTCACCGCACAAACATACTGCGTTTCCTAAAATGGTCTATGGCTCTCTAAAATGAAGTACTCGGTGCGTGCAGGGCAAGAGAATGGAATGAAGCGATGAAGCGTCTGCAAAGTGGCATTTGAGCTTCACCTAAAACTGGGTCAGAAAATCTGGAATCAAGATTCATCTTTGCCACCTTCTTGCCACTTACCTACTTCTATGAACCTCCATTTTTTTTTAACCACATAAGGAAGATAAGAGAGAATCAACAGTGAGAAAAACAACTGCGCATGGTCATGTCCGAGAGCACAGAGATGCAAAGAATGTGTTGAGGAAAGCCCACTGGGCAGCCCAGCATGGAGTACAAGCTCTGGGTGGAACTTGTCCTGCTATGTGTCAGTTTGCACATGAGGACCTGTTACACAGGCGCCTCTCAGTCTGTTTCTGTGGAACAAGTTAATGTGTACATGTTCATCTCAAACCCAGGATTCCCTTTGAGAAGCATCGTTGGCTGAGGTTTAGACTCTGGAAGGTTCTCTGCTTAGGGGCTGGAGCGACAGCACAGCGGGTAGGGCGTTTGCCTTGCACGTGGCCAACCCAGGTTCGATTCCCAGCATCCCATCTCCTGAGCACTGCCAGGAGAAATGCCTCAGTCCATGAGCCAGGAGTAACCCCTGAGCATCGCTGGGTGTGACCCAAAAAGCAAAAATAAAATAAAATAAAACAAAGGTTCTCTGCTTAAAGCACCCTGCACAGCTAGCTGCTCGGATATAAGAAGATCCTTTGGATAGATTAATCTGAAAGAGGCCTGAGTTCTCAACAGAAAAGTTGTACTTTTCTCTAGAGAGAAAGTACAACTTTCTGTGTAGAACTATGGTGATTTAATTCTGAAAAGAGGTCATTTGATTCAAGGGTATATACTCTTACCACCAAGTATATAATAATGACATCTACCACTGCATAATACTTGGGGAAAAAATGTAAAACCTGCCCTTTTAATTTCCAGACCCAGAGAATAGACTTTGTTGTGTGTACCCTGACTCAGGGCACGGGTGGAAATGGGATACGTTTCATAAGCAATGCCAACTTCCTTGTGGTGGCAAGCCAGGATTTCATGATTGGGTGCCAATGTCCAGGGTCCCTAAGAAAGTGAACTGCACTCTAGGGAAGCCTATTCTGGGAATGGAAAAGGAGCAGAGAGGATGTGGTTTCTCTGCTTTACAACCTACGGTATCTTCCACCAGCTTATTTTTAAGGAATACATAAAATAACAGAATTGAATCACTACAAGAGGCCAGGAAATCTACCCTGAAATTGTTTCTGACTTTGGCAGATCTGAAGAGATAGATATTTCATTATGCCTGTCTTTAGTAGGCTCATAGACACATTTGCTACTTCAATCCCAGAACCGAAGTGAAAAAAAGCACATCTCAACCTTCCAGAGCAGGGACAAAGGGACCTTCAAACTCATGAACGACACTGCAATCCCTAAAATTCCTTAGTGCAAACCTTCAAACTGGCTCTGTGCTAGGAAGACCCTATACTTCTGAGGTGAGGAGCAAGAGTTAGCATTTACTGAACATCTCCTGAAATGGGAGATTTGCATCACACCCGGGATAGTGTCACCCAGGCCCTGTCTGACAATACAGAAAATAGAAGCTCATAGAAATCAGGTCACTTCGAGACACATGGCGCCTCATGGGATGGAGGGTGGAACTGGCCCTTCCCTCCCACCCCAACAAGACCCCGAGTCGCCGCCCACAAACGGCTCCTCCAGCTACTTATTGAGCTCCTTAACGGCTATGATCCTAGAGGCATACAAATGAGTCTTGGAACCCAGTGGCTTTTGGTAGAAATCCCTCCAGACTTAATTGTTGAAATAGCATACATAACCCTAAGTTCAGAGCAGTTTAGTATTTTACTTAAATGCCGAGCAGAATCTTGCTCACTCCTAAGACCCCGTGAATGACTTTTTTTTTTTGAGCCGAAGGTACGATGACCCAGTGAAGGATGGGGTGTGGGAGAAGGTGTTACTTTGCCTGTGAGATGTAGGTGCTGACACAGAGCTGTCTGCCAGGCATAGATCCAGTGGGGATCCTCCAGGTCACGGTAGCAGTAATAAAGCAGCACCTCTCCTTCATTACTGTCCTGGCCACTGTAAAAAGAAAACCACAGGGAAATAGTGTTCGAGAGACTGGCAGAAAGTAACCACGGTTCATGAAGGCAGTGTCAGAGGGAATGCTGAGCAGAGAATGTGTGCCTGCCTTTGTTCCACCTATTATTCTCCTGCAGGAGAACACACATCCCACCTCCGTTTGCCTGCACTAAATACCAGACCTTGTGGGAAGGGTGTTTCTGGGGATTTTCTCATTTCTAATAGCCAGGAGACAGGCATTTTATAGGAGAGCTAGAAATAGGAGGCCATTCTGGTGTTCACTCTGACGTGAGGTGGCATCTATTTTTGAATCTCTCACGTATAAATAAAAATATTTCACTTTTCCATGATCATACCCAGAAGAGAAGGCATTCATCTCCACTGTACAGTCAACTCTTGCCAGCTGAGACAGTTACAAAGTCAAAGTCAGAAACCTTGAACACCTGCTTCCGGACACTGGGACTCTGCCTTGTAAGGTCTTAAAATAACCAATGGTAGGACCTGGGCAAGTCTCGAATCATTTGGGATCCCTGATCTCCTCTTCTTTACAGTCAGGGAACTGATTTTTAAAGCACGGTCAGTAGCACAGTCCTTCCGTTGTTCATCGATTTGCTCGAGTGGGCCCAGTAACGTCTCCATCGTGAGACTTGTTGTTACTGTGTTTGGCATAGTGAATATGTCACGGGTAGCTTGCCAGGTTTTGCTGTGCAGGCGAGATATTCTCGGTAGCTTGCAGGGCTCTCCGAGAGGGGCGGAGGAATCGAACCTGGCTCTGCCGGGCCAGCCGCGTGCAAGGCAAATGCCCTACAAAACACCTGCATTTCGCAAAGTGTATTCCAAAGCTCTCTTGAGACATTCCATGCTTAAGAAATATTACAGACGGCAGTAGTTCTCTTTCTGAGAGTTACGTGACAGTCCCTTAGCTATCTCAAAGGCTCAGGGAACAGTCTTATATTTAAGTTTACTGCTTCCCAACATATCTGTCTTTAGTACCTCTTTTCAATACCTGGCATCCTGCTTAGTATTACAGGTAATGCTGCAGCAGCTGATAATGGAGGTTTTGTGCACTCTAAGACTTTCTCTTCAGTATCTTCATGTGTGTCAGGCTTAGACTCTTCCAAATCGTTATTCTCGATTTAAGAGTCTATTTTCTTTTCTCCAAATTCTCGTAACCTAGTATTATCTGCATAACCGATAATTACATAGTCTGCCTCAAGTCATCTGCTAAATGTTTCATGGATCCTTTTATAAAACTAGAAAGCAAATTCCTGAAGTGCAGAACCATGAAAACTGACGGGACTACATTTTTGTATAGCAACTTAAGACTCCACAAATATGCATTAGTGTCATTTGAACTGTGAAAGCAGGCAGAACAGGCATTATTATTCCAATTGTAGAGGCAAGGAACCAAAGATGCAAGGTATCTTAGTGTCTAGTTCAAATCTGAGTCCAATTCTTACTCCTTTCCTTTCACAGAAACAAGGGAAATTTGGTACCGAATACTCCTGACTAACATGCTCCTGACTAAAGTTGAACACTTCTTCCTTGACCAAGTAGTTCAGGAATTGCTTAACATCAGAAACCTGCCTCTAGAACTGGGCTTCTTAATCGCTTTCAATTCATAACCCTCTTTTGCCTGAGCAATTTTTATGCCACCTGTATAAGACAGATATACAAACACTGACTGATAAAACACCAGAAAGTTTTACTTTAGGGCCACAGAGACAGCACAGGAGTTAAGGTGCCTGCGTTGTGTGCAGCTGTGGTTCAATCCCATATACCACATGTGCCCCATGAACTGCAGGGAGCAAACCCAAACACAGAGCCAGGAGAGATCAAAAGCACTGTCAGGTATATCCCCAAAATCACAAAGAAAATTTATTTAAGGACTAGTTTTTAAAAAGTTACATGAGGGGCTGGAGAGATAGCACAGCGGGTAGGGCGTTTGCCTTGCACACGGTCGACCCAGGTTCAAATCCCAGCATCCCATATGGTCCCCTGAGCACTGCCAGGAGTTACACCTGAGTGCAGAGCCAGGAGTAACCCCTGTGCATTGCTAGGTGTGACCCAAAAAGCAAAAAAAAAAAAAAAGTTAAATGACAGGTATATGGGCTCACAGTCTAAGACGTTAGGCTCTAGAATTCTGGAGTATCAAGATTTGATGAGGTTTTTGAAGGCAAAATCTAAATCTACAATCTGAAGTACAAGTTCTAAAAATGAACTCTCTTTCTAAAACATATCCAGAGAGCCACATGTGATAACTATTTTTTTGGTCAAGGCTTATTCCTGGCTCTATGCTCAGGGATCACTCCTGGAGGGCTTGGGGGACCATACAGGGTGCCAGGGAACAAACCCAGGAAATGCCCTACCTTCTGAACTATCATTCTAGTCCTGGTAACTATTTTTTTAAGTTCTGAAATTATCCAGGGTAGAGGAAGCATCAACTTCTCTGATCGTCCCACTTCCCTCTTAAACTAATATTCTCTTTTCCTAGAAAAGACAGGGAACAGGATGGCTTCCAAAAAACCTAGAGGTTCAGGATGTGCCTCAGCAGGAGATGGCTCACCCTACAGCATGGCCCTGGGGTAGATGTCCAGCAGTGCTGGGGAAATAAACCTAATGAATGTGGGTAGCAGTGTGGGCATGTGCTACTGGACACTGACAGTCTTCTACCCAACACAGGATGTTTCTCAGTCTAGGTCAGGCCGGAGGGGAAATCTGTGCCTTAAAGAGACTGCCATTTTGAGGGCTGGAGCGACAGAATAGCAGAATGGGCGTCTGCCTTGCACACGGCCAACCTGCAACCTGTTCTATTCCCACAATCCCTGAGCACCACCAGGAGTAATTCCTGAGTGCAAAGGCAGGAATAACCCCTGTGCATTGCTGGGTGTGACCCAAAAAGCAAAAAAACAAACAAAAACTCAAACCATTAATGCTCTTCGGGGCTGGAGTGATAGCACAGCGGGTAGGGCATTTGCCTTACACGTGGCTGACACAGGTTCGATTCCAGCATCCCATATGGTCCCCCGAGCACTGCCAGGAGTAATTCCTGAGTACAGAGCCAGGAGTAACTTCTGTGCAGGTGTGACCCAAAAAGAAAAAAAAAAAAAAAGAGACGGCCATTTTGAAGGTTTGAAGGATGGGTACCTCATTGCTGAAAAACATCTTTAAAACAAAGCCAAGAAACACAGGATGAATTTCTTTCTTACCTCATCAGCTCATCAGGGCTAAAGCGACTTATATCAGGGAGCCAGGCAGATACTTCTTGGGTACGAGAAAGGTCCTCTTTTAGAGGGCTTCTTCTGTCTTCAGACTTAAGGTGCTCTGCGGTACATGAAGTCCCCGCCAGTTGCTGAAGAATAGCAGCAGTCTGGCAGCAAATCTCGGCAGCATGTTGTGTAGCTACATGTCTGTGGAAGCTGGACTGGATGGTGAATAGCTGCTGACAACACTTCCAACACTTCTTGTGACATCCAGGAGGCGCCAGAATCTCTTTGGTTTTGACGAAAAGGGCAAAAGCCTGCAATCACATTTCCAACTTGTCACACTTAGGTAACCGAGTTTAGGGCTAATGAAATCTGGAGTGGCAGGTGGTGCTTGGAAGGTGGTCAAGTGTTATGCATGAAACCCCACCAGTAACATTATTATAAACCACAGTTCCTAAAAGGAGGGCAGGGGGAGAAAGCCTGGTGTAAAAGCAAACTGGTGGGTAGAAGGGAAACTGGGAACATTGGTGGAAGAAAATGGACAACACTTTAGGAGCCAGTGTTGGTACATTGTGTGTCTGAAACTCAATCATGAATGACTTTGTAGATCATGGTGCCTCAATAATGAGTTAAGAGACCAGGATGACAGCACAGTGAGTAAAGCATTTGCCTCGCACACAGCCAACCTATGTTCTATCTCCAGCGTCCTATATGGTACCCCAGTGCACTAGGAGTAATTTCTGAGTGCAGAGCCAGGAGTAACCCGAGTATTGCTAGGTATGACCCAAAAAGCCAAAAAAAAAAAAAAAAGTTAAAAAAAAGGTTAGGGTTAATGAGATCATCCCATCTATTGCCCCTCTACTCTCATCGCAAAAATTATAGTTTTTTAAAATATGATTTTTGGTGGCTGGTCCTGGAGGTCTTCGGCTGCCATAGCCCTGGTCGGGGCGGGGAGGAAAGCTCAACCCGCTCCCCTCCAAGGGACTCCGGGAAGGAACACCCAGGCGCGGGGGCAGAGACTGCACTGTTCTCGTCCGGGATCTGGATTTTATAGTCTCTGAGTCTTGGCCGCTGATGGGATTACACGGCGCCAGGGGGCCAGGTGGTGGGTGTGACCCCCGCCTACTGGAATTTGGAGGATCTGGGTGGAAGATGCTCGACTCCAATTCGAGTAGGCTTGGAGGTCTCGGCCCCGGAACCCGCGTGGCTTTGTCCCTCTGCCAGTACCTTCATGTGTGCGGAGAGTGGTCTCAGCATGGTGGTGGCTGGTCCTGGAGGTCTTCGGCTGCCGTAGCCCTGGTCGGGGCGGGGAGGAAAGCTCAACCCGCTCCCCTCCAAGGGACTCCGGGAAGGAACACCCAGGCGCGGGGGCAGAGACTGCACTGTTCTCGTCCGGGATCTGGATTTTATAGACCACTCTCCGCACACATGAAGGTACTGGCAGAGGGACAAAGCCACGCGGGTTCCGGGGCCGAGACCTCCAAGCCTACTCGAATTGGAGTCGAGCATCTTCCACCCAGATCCTCCAAATTCCAGTAGGCGGGGGTCACACCCACCACCTAGCCCCCTGGCGCCGTGTAATCCCATCAGCGGCCAAGACTCAGAGACTATAAAATCCAGATCCCGGAACCGCGCGGCCGCGACATCTTAACAGAACTTTTTTTTTATAACATCTTATTGTCTTATTCCTACTTTGGACAAACTTGCAGGCTATCGAATGTAGCCTGCCCACAGGGCAGAGTCTGGCAAACTCCCCGTGGCGTACCAAATATGCCAAATACCAGTAACAATGATGGGTCTCATTCTCCTAAATAGCCTTGAATATAATCTCAGGGCTAGGATGAAAGAGACGTTACTGGGGCCTGCTCGAGGCAATCAACGAATAACAGGATGATGAAATGAAATGAAATGAAATGATTTTTAAAAAATATTTTAAAAAAAATTATCGTCACCTAGTAGTATAAAAAAAAATTATCTGTCACTGTCCTCCCATTGTTCATCGATTTTCTTGAGCAGGCCCAGTAATGTCTCCATTGTGAGACTTTGTTGTTACTGTGTTTGGCATATCAAATACATCACGGGTAGCTTGCCAGGCTTTGCCGTGCGGGAGAGATACTCTCGGCAGCTTGCCGGGCTCTCCGAGAGGGGCGGAGGAATCGAACTGGGGTCGGCCATGTTGTCTGCGTGCAAGGCAAACGCCCTACCCGCTGTGCTATCGCTCCAGCCCATAAAAATATTATAATTAAAAAAATTATTCTATGAGCATTTCAAGTTTGCCAAGATTATATAGAAAATTCCCATAGGGATTCCATTCCTACTTCTCCAGTAATCCCAAAGAGTTCAGATAGCTCCACTCTATCTAAGGTCACTAGATGGTCACTATCTAAGGTTGCCATGTTCATAAATCTTCAATCTGGAGTGCTTAATCATTATTCCCTAAAGTCACAACCAACAGTGGAACAATAGCACAGCAGGTAGGGCTTTTGCCTTGCAAGCGGCCAACCCAGGTTCCATTCCCAGCATCCCATATGGTCCCCTGAGCACCGCCAGGAATAATCCCTGAGTGCAGAGCCAGGAGTAACCTCTGTGCATCACCGGGTCTGACCCACAAAGCAAAAAATAAATAAATTAAAAAAAAAAATCACAACCAAGGCAATTTGATGGGTTTTGCTGTTTTGGGGTACACCTGGCAGTTGTCAGAGTTTACTCCTGACTATGAGCTCAGGAATCACTCTTGGCGGGTCCTGGTGGACCATACCGGGTGCAGGGTCAGCCACTTGCAAGGCAAGTGCCCACTCCATTTCACCTACTCTCCAGCCCCTAGACCAAGGCAATTTTAAACGATGTATTATCATGTGTCTCCATCTGATTTGCAGCCGTATGTTCCTATGATTAAGTTCAGGTTATTAACGAGACGCTGGGTTCCTCTCAACTGTCCTCATGCATTCCATCATGTGCCACCCATTCTCTAGGGTGCCCAGTCTCTGAATAAAGGTCAGTTAACAGCCCAACTCAACTGTATGAGGAGCACTGCCCACCTGCTGTGTCACTAGCCCACAACTCCCTCAGCACAGCCTCACCCACTGCTTCTAAATGCACCTGAATAAAGTATACACCCAAGATCCCCAACACCACTTTTACCTTTTTCTTTGCATATGAGTATTTCTTCTTCAAATGAACATCTAATTCTGCTTTAAGACAGCTAGTGGGATCAACAGGATCTGTGTCTTTTAAATCCAGGCCTGAAAATCTCAAAGCACAGGCCTCCGGGTCATCTGATGAAGTGGGAGAAGGCATCGGTCTGGTTGGCAGGCTGCTCTTAGGTAATTTTCACCCTGGAAGTAAGCAAGGAGAAACAAGAGGGGAAATCTTTGGTTCCTATTTCAGATAAAACTACAGCTAACTTACCCTGCAAATGAGCCTGAACCCAAAGAACCATCTCTTATTCATTCAAACATAGGCACCGAGCGCCTAACTCTACACTATTCTACACCCCAGGGAGAGAGCAAGGGAAAGAATCTCTGGTTTCTTAGAATTTACATTCTGGTGGGGACAGAGGAAACACGAATAAACTAATTTTTAAAGAAAAGTCAGATTGTAGCGGCCAGCACGATAGTATAGAAGGCAGGGAGTTTGCCTTGTACACGGCCAAACTGGGTTTGATCCCCATCATCCTATATGGTTCCCCCAGTCCTGCCAGAAGTGATGCCTGAATGCAGACCCAGTAATAAACCCTGAACACCACCAAGTGTGGCCCAAACAACAAACAAAATCAGATGGTAAAAAGTGCTGTTCAGACTAATAAGCAGGTCAAGAAGTCGCAATGAGGCAAGGCAGAGCTCTTTAAAACACAGGGCTAGATAGTACAGTGGGCAGGGTGCTTTCCGTGCAGAAGACCAACCCAGGTTCAATTCCTGACACCCTATATGGCCCCCAAACGTCACTATCACTATCACTATCAGCCCATTGTTCATCGATTTGCTTGAGCAGGCACCAGTAATGTCTCCATTCATCCCTGTCACGTGCTAGTTTAGTCCGATGGCATATTGGGGGCTCTTTCAGGGTCAGGCGAATGAGGACCATCATTGTTACTGTTTTTGGCATATCGAGTACACCATGGGTAGCTTGCCAGGCTCTGCCATGCGGGCAGGATACTCTCGGTAGCTTGCCAGGCTCTCCGAGAGGGATGGAGGCTTTTGGGACAGCCTCTAATCACCTTTAGAGGTGTTCCCAGTCAGGCATATATGCAGGCAGGATATTCTCAGGCCCCCAAACATAAAATGAATAAACAAACCCGGGGAAGCACAGTGCTTGAACAGATGCCAGAATCAGGGGTTAGTGCAGAAAAAATTGCAGAATACCAGAAAAGTACCAGGTACGGTTAAAATAAACCCTACCATGTGCCAGTACCTTCAGTTATAAACACTTCTCCCCAGTACACTGTGCTAGGGCTGTCTAGGGCCCTACCTGGAGGAAATGACTAACTCATCCCAGCTTAAGTAGCTGTAAGAAATATACAAATTGCTACTGTGGTCAAACCTCACCACCAGGACACACAAAACCCAACAGGCCTCAACCCTTTCTTTTATAAAGCTCCTGTTACCGGCGACTTGCTTGGAGAAGCAAGGCCTTTAAATTCTGCAGCACCATCAAAAGATACTAAACTCCCTCATTTATAAAAGGCTGGTGACAGTACTCCTTGGCTGATTTTAGGCAGGGACTCATGAGCATCTGTAAAGTGTGGGGCACACACTTTAGGGCCGAAAGAACAGAGACATCAGCATTTCTGTTTAATAACATTATGGTCTGGTGGTTCTCCCCCACTCCCACCCCCAAGTACTGCCGAAGTGATCCCTGAGGGACAAGCCCTGAGCACTGCTGAGTGTGGGTGTCCCTCCTCCCCCCCCAAAAAACACACACACAAATTTAAGTTAAATTTAAAACTAATAAAGAAAAATCATGTACTCCCCGCCCCCTTGTCCTATCCAGGGCCAGACTGTGGCTACTCATTCCTGAAAGGGTCAGGAATGAGTTCACTTCTGCATCTTGAGCACCTAGAACCCTGCTTGGCACACAAGAGGAGCTAAGTGTAAAGAAAAAACCTGTTGAAATTTATAAAGTAATGAAAAGGTGACTGGGTAGCCACAAGGCCACACCAAGGATTTAAGGTTTGAGCTGAGATCTTAACGTCAGGAGCAGATTTACATGTTGAGACTTTAAGGCAAACAGTATAAAATTTGTGTGTGTGTGCATATTTGGTGGGGGGAGGTGGGGGGTGAGGGGGAAAAGGTGGGTGGGTGGAGGGAAACCACTCAGAGGTGCAGGATAACTGAACTCTGGCATGCTGGGCAGCGCCATAGCACAGCAGGTAGGGCACTTGCCTTGCACGAAGCCAAGCCAGGGTTCCATTTCAAGCATCCCATATAGTTCCCTGAGCCCACCACGGTGACCCCTGATCCAGGAGTAAGCTCTGAGCTTATTATGACCTCCTTCCCTACACCCCCAAAGAAAAATAATCAAAAACTCTGGGCGGCAAAGCAAACGTTCCAGCTGGCCATCTCTCAGTTTCCCAAAGTGAGAACAAACCTGGATTTGGGGGTGGGGAGAGCTTTAATTTTGGAGGGTGTGCATATCCTGCGGGGCTCAGTGTTGATTCCTGGTGGGAGATGGGGTAGGGAGTACATGGTGCAGGGGACGGAATCGGGGTCAGCTGCAAGGCAGATGCCTGTGTCCCTGTGCTGTCTCTCTGGCCCCACCAGCCTGACTTCTTGAGTGGCTGAGTGACTGGAGTGTATTGACCGAGAGGATCCAGTTAACCGTGACTTCCAAGGCCAAGTCTTTTTTCCTTTTTGGGCCACACCCGGTGATGCTCAGGGACTGTTCCTGACTCTGCACTCAGGAATGACTCCTGGCGGTGCTTGGGGACCACAAGGGATGCCCGGGATCGAACCTGGGTCAGCTGCGTGCCAGGCAAACACCCTCCGCGCTGTGCTATCGCTCCGGCCCCCAAGAGCAATCTTTGGAGGCCGGCTGCTGGGTTTATTCCCGAAGCGGCGGCGGGAAGATCCTTGGGTCGCCCGGGCCTTGGAGGAGGGTGGAAGGAAGGAAAAGGGGTCCCCCCAGGATGACCCCCTACCTAATAGGAGCGAGCCAGGCTGCGGGCCGGGGGGCCTGGTGAGGGGCTGGGGGGGTGCACCTGCCCGGGTCGCCGGTGCGTGAGGCCTCTGCACCGCGGGCTGACCCGCTACTCCCGTGCGAACCTGTGCCGCGGGTCGCTCTCCCCTCCTGCATCCGACGGCCCCCGCAGGCGGGAGCGACCGTGCTCGGAGCCGGGAAGGCGGGGCACGACCCCTCACCCCCGGAAGTCTCGGCGGCGCGCAAAGCGAAAGGACCGCCGGGAAAAGGAAAAAAAAAACCATCGAGAGGCGCGGGCGGAAGTGAGGCCTAGAGCGTCCTGCTCCCCGCCTCCCAGGTGCGGCGTGCGGTCGCCGGGCTCGCCAGCTCCGGCCTTGCCGAAGAGGCGGCGCGGCCCCCGGAAGGACTTGGCACGACTGGCGGGAGAAGCGAGAGGGCGGAAGCGGAGGAGGAGAGGAGGCCCGAGCACCCGGGGCGTGCGGCGCGGACTGAGCGTCCCGGCCTGAGCCTCCCGCGGCGGCCGCGCCGTGCGGAGCCACTGCGCCTGCGCGCCCGCCCACCCGCCCGACGGTTCCCGCGCCGCGCCCCGCGTCTCCTCCCGGCCGTGCCGGGCCCGGCGGCATGTCGCGGCGGCGGCACAGCGACGAGAACGATGGTGAGTGGCCCGGGGTTCCGCTTCTGTCACCTCTGGGTCCCCAGGGAGGTAGGGACGGGGGATGGAGGAGCCGGCGCGGGCCCGTGGCGCGCGGGGTCGGAGCCTGGGCCTCCTCCCGCTGCGGATGCACCAGGTGCGCCAGGTTGCGGGTGCTGCCGCCCCAGCTCAGGGGCCGGCCTCCCCGCTGCACCCCCGACTGCCGCGGAACACCCCCACCTCCACCCCCACCCCGGACGGCGCCCGGGAAGGCCGCTCGGGAGCCTGACCCCCGCTGGCGTCCGAGGAGCCGCTCGCCCGGCGTGGCCGTGGCCCCGGACTCGGCCCCCTCCCCGCCCCCACCGTGCATTTATTTGTGGTTCTCACCCCGGGGGGCATCTCGAGGTGTCTCGGCCGGTCACGCACCCGCGCGCCCAAATGCGGGCTTCTGGCGTTCGCGTCCCCGGGGGTCGTGGAGTTGGGGCGCTTCGTTTCCCGCCTCCCCCCCACCCCCCGTCTGCTTTGCACGCTTTGGGCATGCGTGGGGGTAGGGGTGGGGGGTCGTGCGGTTTGCCCTCCTGAACTGCAGCACGATTCCGTTCCTTAGGGACTGAGGCGTCCCGGGGAGGGCGGGGAGATCAGCCTGGACCGCTCACACCCTGCGGAGGGGAGGCGAGGACGACGAGGACTTGTTTCCTCTCGGAGCGGTTGTGGTAGCAGAGTCGTGTTTGTAGTTGAGAGCTCGACCTTCCTTTGCAGCCCCGTGCATTGTCGAGAAGCGCACTCTGGGCTGGCAGTAATGATGCAGGTGCTCCTAGCTTCTGCTTTGTGGGCGGTGAAACGGGGTGACCGTGTTAGGAGTGGCTCCTGAGGTTGGGTTTTTTGATCATTTATAAAGGCTCAAAGAGGAGCCAGGCACTGCTGGGTGCCAGTGATTGAAAAAGTAAAAACAGAAGTTTTGAATTAAAGTTTCTCCAACATTTTCTTCTTCTTGAATATTTGGGGTTGGGGGCGGGGGAGGAAACGCTTCCATACATGCTGGTGTGAAAATCCAGACTCCAGCATGAAAAGTGTAACCGCAGCCCTTTGAGCCACCTCCCACGCCCCCCCCCCATGACCGTGGAATCACATTTAGTTTTAACAATTAAACAGCAGATTTCTGCTGTGCATAAGAGAGATGTACAACTGTCTTTAAAGGAGTTTTCCTGTACTTTATGTGAATGCACTAGCAGTGCCCAGAGCAAAACATTGCAGGATTTTCTTTACCACACAGGTTTTAATATTCTGTGTTTAAATATTTAGACATTATACTTGTACAGAAATGCTTTTTAAAGCACTGGATTCTAGCTGTATAATCTACAAACAAGGTACAGGGAATAGTTTTCATACGCTTTGAATTTCGACTAGCCAAAAATTAATATGTTTGAAGTCATTGCATGGAGTTTTGAAGATGCAAGTCCTTTAAAGTTATTCCCATTTGCTTTTCTCTTGCTTTCTCCATTCCTTTTCTTCTCAACCTTTTATGGGCATCTCTAAAGGAACAGAAATTGTTTCCAGGGGTCAGTCTGGAGGACTGAATGTGAACAGGAAGAAACTCAAGGTTTGCTTTGTTTATAGAGATGTTTGCATAATTTTGTTGGGAGTTAGCATCTTTATACCAGCTGGCAGCTAAATCAGTGTCCATTTGGGTCTTGTCCTAGGAACCCCAAATAAATAAAAATGAAAAAATAAGGAGTTTAGTCAAACAAAACACTGTCCTCCCGTTGCTCATCAATTTGCTTGAGCAGGCCCAGTAATGTCTCCATTCTTAAGACTTGTTACTGTGTTTGGCGTATTGAATACTCTTGGTAGCTTGCCAGGCTCTCTGAAAGGGGCGGAGGGATCAAACCTGGCTCAGCCAGGCTGGCTGCGCACAAGGCAAACGGCCTACTTCAAGGAGTTTAGTAAAGGTGAATAATTTAGTAGTGGGTGGGGCAGTTTATCATTCATCTTTAATACAATATCAAGCATAGAACTTCTGTACCTTACCAGTTTGGTTTTATTCACTAGGGTTTGCCCAAGTAAATTTCTGAATTAATAGTTTAGAGAATTTCCTTTTAATTAAGCATCTATTTTTCCCAAACAAAGTATTAGCTGCTCCAATATTATAAAAGGCTTTAAATAGACTATTATGGTTGAAGTAGATGTATCCAAACATTTTTGGATTGTTCTAAACATTACTGGTCGCCAACTGCCTGGACTTTACATTTGGTTGATGAGATTTAATCATTTATCCAAATAAACTATTGACAGTGCTGGGCATCATTGTCCTCCCTGCATTGCAGGGGGGCGGCGAGGGGGAGTATCGAAATGGCATCTGCCTTTTAGTGTGGAAAAGCAGGCAGCTATCCTGGAAAACCGTGCATGTCATATGGCAGAGCACACTATAAGGTGTGCTAAAGGGTTGAGGGTTGCTGTGGGGAGGAGTCACTGTGTGCACTCACCTCTGAAGTCCTGGCAGAGAAGGGCAGGAGGCAGGGTGTACGCATTGCCCCATTACCTGGCTCAGCGGGGGAAAGCTGTGGTCCCGGTGCCAAGACCAGCAGGTTAGCACATTTCCTGTTGTGTTCATAGAACAGTGTGAGGGGGCATGTGTGGCCAGAGCTGAGACAGTGGGGGCCACAGGGGTAAGAGGGAATTTGGGGGGGGGGAAGCAGCGACTGCAGGTGGATTTGCAGTTGTGCCTCTGTTGTGGGTGACAGTGTGTGTGAGGTGCAGGCTACATCGAGTTCCCTTTTCAGACTCTTAGGAGTGTCTCTGTGGGCTGGGGATGTGGGACTAGGGGTGGAGCATCTCCCTCACTCTAAGGTCAAACCCTGTACTGTATGTTTGTATCCTACCGTGCCCTGCACAGCCAGTTGTGGCCCCTATGAACAAAAAGACTCAATGGCTAACTTGTACACCTCTATTAAGCATGTAATCGTGAATATATTATAAGCCAAGATATTATTTGTTTTAAAAAAGAATGTCTCTGAAGCTCTCTGCTGATTATGGAATATATACATAATAGGTGTCCAAGGCAAATTTCTTTTTTAAAAGTGTTTTGACTGTCAGTAATCTTGGTCATGAACCTATATTGTCTCATTTTAAGCTATTTATGCGTAAATGGCATTTAGGTCCTTTAAATTGTGATTTTTTTCCCCCTTCATTTTAGGGGAGACACCACATAGATGGGAAGGGATGTTTCTTCTAAGGAAGAGCATAGTTTCCAAAGTTAGGCCGGCCTCTGCGTACAGTCTGCCGCATGGGGCACTCTTTTCCCTGTTTGTCTTTGTTATTTTACTTTTTCTTATAGTGCTGATTCTTCATTTTTGTGGGTCTAAAATTTTGATAGTTGCTCTAATCCTAAAGGGTCACCTTTCAGGGGCAGAATCATGGTCTGTTAACAGACTTTCTAGGGGGTGTCTTCCTAGAGACCTGCTTGTCCAGCTAACTGACCAAGGGGAAAGTGCCTTCTGCTGGTGGACTTAGCGACATTGTATCAGCCAATGTATCCATGAAGTGGCAACATATGACTTAATTATTTATATTTCTTGGCATTAAAAAAATGGCCTTGGGGCCTCTGGAGGCCTTGGAGCACATCAGGGTTACCCCCAGCATTCCAGAGGGGTCGTGTGGGGCCTGGACCTTCTGCATGATAAACAGGTATCAAAGGGAGAGCACTGTTCCTTTGAGCTATCCCCATTCAGCAGACACATTTTAATAGAATACAGATCCGAAGATTCTGCCTTTGGATGGCTTTGTTTGGGGGCTGTACCAGGCTGTTCTTAGGAACTAATCCTGGCTCTGTGCTCAGGAGTGACCTCTGATAGTGCTCAGGGACTGTGTGTGGTGCTCGCGATGGCACTGGGGTCAGAGCCACTTGCTAGGCAAGTGCCATACCCCAGTCTCCTCTCCACCCCATACTCTTCCTGAGGGAATTCAGTGGCTGAGTTTTCTTCAGAGTGTGTGAAATCCTTCAGCTAACAGCCAGGATTTTATTTTCAATTAAGATGTTTAATCCCTAGTTTTTTTTTCTGAGTTCCATAGCCTCTTCCTGGGCATGAGTAGAGCTTGTGTCTGTAGTTCCCCTCTTCTACTGTCCTTTTCCATACCCTAAGTACCAGGGGAGAATGAGACCCCTCTTACCTCTCAGCACATTCTGCTTCCTCACTTTCTCCAATCACAGCTTGGTTTGGAATGGTTGAGCTGGAAAGGCGTGTAGTCAGAGGCAAGACTGTTTTCTGGGTTTCCTTCTGAAATCAAACCTGGTCTCTGCATTATCCTCCTCAAACTCCTCGCTTTAAGATGGGACTACAATTTCAAACTGACTCCAAGTAGCCAGTTAGATAATTAGGGGAGGCCAAGGTGGGTGGGATGTGGGTTAAAGGGGTTGGCGGACTGGAAGGGTCAAGGAGAAGGCAACCACAGTGAGTGAAGTTGAAAAGGAGAAGCAACAGAGATTGTTCGCATTGAGCTGGGTTTTCAGGAATTCCCCGCCTTGCTGGAATCTGGTTCAGAAAGAAATGATGAGTTTCTTCTGCTCTCTAGGGCATTTTGAACTAGCTTATTTGTTGTTGGGAGTTGTCCAGTAGCAGTGTTAGTTGTTGGTGGGTTCCCTGACTAATGGCACCTCGCCCCCACCCCCTCCCCCTCCAGTGCTGGCAACTAGAAATGTCTCCAGGGATTGCCAGATGGCTCTTTGGGTGCAGAATCTTACCCAGGTGGAAACCGTAGCTCTATGGAGGGGGGTGGGGAGTGGAGAGGAGGAGCACACCTGGTGGTGGTACTCAGGGTTACTCCCAGCCTGGCGTGTAGGGGGTCGCTCATAGTGGTGCTCAGGCTGCCGTTTACCGAACTCGGGCTTCCTGCCTGCCGTGCCTGCATGCATGTTCTCTAGCCCTTTTAGCTCCCCAGCCCCAGAAGCCGTCTGTAATGTTGTAGCTGACAGTTTTTATAAATCTTGCGTCAAATATACAAGCTTTTTTAAATGAAAGAATCTTAGAAATAGAAGGCCTTTATGTGAAATCGGTTGTTTGGGTGGGTAAGTGGAACATTTTGTGTTCTGACTTAAGGTTGATGTATGCTCTTAGAATCAAGGTTGTGGTCCCACTCTGTGACACATTCCATAACTTTACACACGAGGTATCTCCAGAAATGGGTCTCAGCTGTTGAGCTTCCTGTATATTGTATTTTCTCCGGTCACCTCTGTTGCTGTCCAGTCCTATCCCAGTCTGTTTCATTCAGTTCATGAAGGTCATCTCTGCCACGATGGGGAATTTTCTAATGCCCCAAGCTCAGGGTAGCCAAGTGCTGTGTCTTATGATAGGCACATCACGGCTTAGCGTTCCAGAGCAAGTGACGCTAAACTCTTAAAAGAGCAAAAGTAGGGCCAGACGGATAGGACAGTGGGTAGGGCACTTGGCTGACATGTGGCTGGACATTGTTTGCTCCGGGGCACTGCCCGTGTTCCCTCGAAAGCTACTGGGATAAATCCCTGAGAACAGAGTCAGGAGTAAACCCTTAGCGCTGCTGGATGTACTGCTCAAAAGAGGGGGGGGGGCACAGAACTAGAAAATAGCCCTGTTTCTTCTTTTGAAAGGTCTGGAGAACAGAGTCCTATGTCATGAAGTCCTAGGTAACCTGTACAACTGGAGATTTTCATTATTGATACGAATGCCCAGTTAGAGTACGTGCTTCCTTGCCCACAGACATCCTGATGCTCTTGAGGAAAGTCAAAAATAATTTCATTTTGCAGTATACGATAGTATCTGAGTTTTAGTGGAAGAACTTTCTAGTGTAGGGTCCCCACCCCTTGTGGTGCTTCCACACAGGGTGCTCCGTCTGCAGTGCTGGACATTGCCTGTGGATGGCGGCCTGCAGCGCTGCCAGGTTTGTGCTCGCTGTGTTTGGAACACCGGGGTTTGAGCTTGCCAGGCCCCAAGAGCTCTATTGAGTGATTTTGTTTTAAATCAAGACTTAAAAACTTGTTTTTAAGATCAAGATTATTCAACTTAGCTTTGTATTCATATTTTATCAGCTTACACAGTTACATTTATTAGACTGTTGAGTGCTGCGGACACTAACAGGTTCAGGAAGTAACCAAAGATTAGTAAGCAACTCAAGTTCGAAGAGTAGGAATGACGCATTCGTGACCTGAGTGAGTGTTACCGATTGTTCCACTGCCATGGCAGCACCGTTCCTGACTGGCCGCAGTAGTTGGGCTGCTGCATTGTGTGGCAGCTGGGCCCTGCTCACACAGAGTTGGTGTGAGTAATGATCTCCTACAGTGATTCTGGACTGCAGGAGGGAGACTTATGCGGATGGAGCTTAGTCTGAGAAAGGGTCAGGTGAGAGATCCAGCTGTGTGTAAAAAGTTGGATCCTCTCTACTTCAAGGAGGAGGATCTGCAGTCTTTTGTGTGGCCTTAGACTTTTCACTGCTTCAGTTACTTCTTCCACTCCCATTGTCGACCCCTGGCAATCAGCAATCCAGTCTCAATATCCATGAAAGTGTTGTGTTGTTATGTTGGAGGTTTTTTAACCATTATTCCATATGTAAGAGAGATTCTAGTGTTTTTTCTTGGGAGTTTTACAGTTTAGATCTTGCAGTTTAATTAATTATTGTGTTTGGCTTAAGATTGTGATTCCATTTTAACAAGCCATTTATTGACGAGACTCCCCTTTTCCCATTGTATATTTTTGTCTCCTTTTTTTTATAAGTTTATTGATCATATATCACTTGATCACTTGATATCCCGTTACTCATCGATTTGCTCGAGCAGGCGCCAGTAACGTCTCCATTTGTCCCTGTCGCGTGCTAGTGTAGCCCAGTGGCATCTGCTCGTTCTAAGAACACAAAGAGCCTCAAACCGATCGTTCAGGGTCTTGATGAAGAAGTCTGACCATCTCATAGGTGGGCGGCCACGTGATCTTTTGACGTCCCATGGAATCCAGTTGGTGATGACTCTAGTCCAGGGGTCGTCTCTAAATCTCATTACATGTCCAGCCCATCTTATTTTTGACACCTTGGCAAACGAGACAGTGTCCCTGATTGTTGAGCGTTGATGGAGGTCGGAACTCTGGATTCTTTCTCTCATTTGAGTAAAGCTTGATACTCCAAGCACAGTTCTTTTGATTCCTCTTTGAGAGACCCAAATTAGTGTTCTCATCCTGTTTTCGTAGGGCCCAGGTCTCTGAGGCGTATCTTAATGCAGGAAGAGATGTGCTCAGAGCTGGAGATTCTTCGTCCTCTTAGCTATTTCTTTGACACTCTTGAAGGCGTTTCAAGCCGCTCTCTTCCTCCTGCGCAACTCAGGTGCCAGGTCATTAGTCATGTTGACCTTCTCGACCTAGGTACACATAACTGTTGCATTCGGTGTTGGTTGTTCCGTTGAGAGCAAATGGAACGTCAGGAACAAGACTGTTTCTCATGAACATTGTCTTTGTGAGATTCAGCTGTAATCCAACCTTTCCACACTCACAGTCGAAGTCGGTCAGCATTTGTGCTGCTTGGCTAATGTTTGGTGTTACTAGAACAATACCATCAGCAAAGTGGAGGTGGTATAGTTGCTGACCATCTATCTTCACTCCCATTCCTTCCCATTCCAGTCGTCGCATGATGTTCTCGAGGGTGGCACTGAAGAGTTTCGGTGAAATGGTATCACCCTGTTGAACCCCTCTCTTGACATCGATGATCACTTCTTAGTAGAATGGTGAGATCCTGGTAGTGAATCCGTAATACAGCTCACGGAGGATCCTGATGTATTGAGTTTGAATGCCTTGATCATATTGATCATATGTAAATGGATTTATTCCTGTTCTCTTTTGTACTACTTACCTGTTTTGTCTATTCTTGTACCTATACTTTTTTGTTTTAATTATCTTTGTGAAACTTGTAGTAGTGCATTATTTGTAATAATAAATATTTTTCACTAAAACAGGGGGACAACCTCACAAAAGGAGAAAGACTTCTGATGCAAATGAAACTGAAGATCATTTGGAATCTTTAATATGCAAAGTAGGAGAAAAGGTAAGCACCATAAAAAGCATAGATCCTAATGGATGGATTTAGAGTTCTAGTTGCCTTGCTCTAAGTTCTGCACCTGAAAATGACCTAAGTCTTGAGCAAAACTCGTGTTGTGGGTCCAGTGTTTTTAGAAATTTTCATAGACTATGAGTTTTAGACTGTTGAGTCCTGACAATTTATAAATGAGGAACTGAGCAAGCCCTGGATATTTGTGAATTAGTTTATGTCACCTCTCGAACGAATTGGGTTGGAATAGAACCTGTGATTCCTTCTATTTCTAATCTGTATTGTTATCTTAGACTGCTTCCCTTCTAAATTTTATTCATTCTCAGTGGATTTTACTCTTTAATCCTCACCCAGAAAAATTGATTCTACCGATTCCCCAGTGCTTGACGGGTACTTAATACATTGTCTTGGCCCTGGGGAGAGAGCCTTAGAGGGCTTTAGCTTATGCTGGTGTGCAAGAAGCACGGTGTGGTCCCCTGGTCAGAAAGCTGGGAGTTAGCTGCTGAGCAGCACTGAGTGTAGCCCCAGAGATGATGATAATGAGGTAGAATGGTGGTGCTGCTCCGCCAGAGAGATGGCATAGGGTTCATGGTGTTCCTCACACACAAGTCCCAGGAGTTATGCCCTGAGCACAGCTGGGTATGGCCTCAAAACCAAAAAACAAGTTTTTTAATAATGGTGATAATAATATGTTGTCTTCCACAGAGTGCCTGCTCTTTGGAGAGCAACTTAGAAGGCTTGGCTGGTGTTTTAGAAGCTGATCTTCCTAACTACAAGAGCAAGATCTTAAGACTTCTTTGTACAGTGTATGTATGCAAAAGATTTATGAATACAGCTGATAATGTATTACCTACTCTTAAACGCTTTGGGAAAGGTTCAAGAGATGTGTTTGTTTCATATGTCATCAGTATTTATTCTATTGGGAAATTTCATTTTGTCTCTTAAACTCTTTCTTAGAGATGGATATGATTAAAATTGAGCATTTTTCTTATGCTTTGTTACAACTTTAGTCCTTTTTGACTTTTTAAGTGAGAACAATACCTTCATATTTATATTTCTTTAAAAGCATGCACATTTAAAAACATAAAATAGTATTTCTTTTTTAAAAACAGTAGTGCCAGACATTTTGGGAATTTGTCTCTAAAATAGGTATTACATTTTTATTTTTGAGGAAATGAAAATGGGAAAGGTCTCGCATCAAAAAACATTCTCCAGGGCTGGTGATATTAGCAACCCATATTTCATTTCTTAACCTCGTCATAATGTGCTGAAATGTTGACCTTTCATGATTTCTGGATTGAGGGGGGGTTTTGTACACTTCATATGAAATTGTAAATTATCTTTGAGGCATTTTTAAGTTAAAAAGGGACTTTTGGGTCATTTTTATTTTAATTCGTTACGTTTTTTAAAATTTAAAAGTAAATTTAAGTGAAAACTATCCATGAATTTCATTTTAACCTCAGGAAGTATAAATCATTTGGGTTATGACTTTTTTTAGAGGTCTCCAGTTAATAATTCAGGAAGACCTAATCTTTTTTTTTTTAATGATGATGATGATGACTTTGTTTTTTATTTTTTAGTGAATCACCATGGGGTATAGTTATGTACTTAAAAACTTTCGTGCTTGCTCAGTCATACAGTGATTGAGAAACCATCCTTCCACCAGTGCCCATTCACCACCACCAATGGTCCCAGCATCCCTCCCACTACCCTTACCCCGTCCCCTCCACCCTACCCCACCTCTGTGGCAGGCATTCCCTTTTGCACTCTCTCTCTTTTTGGGTGTTGTGGTTTGCAATAGAGGTATTAAGTGGCCACCATGTACAGTCGTTAGTCTACTTTCAGCCCGGATCTTTCATCCCGAGCGGGCCCTCCTAGCACCCTGTACTTCGTAGGAAGACCTAATCTTAGGCCAACAAACTACTGGGCAAAGTCATGTTGCTCTGTTAACCGTAAGAGGCCAGCTACTGAGTGGAGGACGGTCATTCGAATGGAGCAGCATTAATACTCGTACTGGAGCCATGACGGCTGGAGGCAGGGTGGCACTTACTATCAGCACAACTATTTTCATTGCCTGAATTGTTCCAAACACTCTGGTAGGTGCTCTGGGAAAAGAGTCCAAGAGCATCTCGTTTTATGTGCTTAGTTGGGGAACAGGTCCCTGCCCGGTTACTGTGCTCTGGGCTGGCTCTCAGAAGTGGGCTTCCTGCATGCAGAGCACGGGCATGGCCTCCAGAACTGTCTGCTGGCCCAAGAGTTGGAGTTGTTAGGAGTGCTTATTTGCTTTTCTTTTTTTGTGCTTAAGGCTGCCTGAACTAGGGAATGTTTGTTTTTTCCAATACTTTACTGTAGTAATCAATTGGCCTACTTTTCACACAATTTTAAGTTATTTAAAGTAAACAAGCTGAGTTATAAGGAAATCTTACTGCGTCCAGTACACGTGTTAAGAATTTAGGAGTTTTTCTTTTGTTTTGGGACCACACCTTGCAGTGCTCAGGGGTCACTCCTGATGTCGCCTGGTGACCATGTGTGTCGTGCTAGGGATAGAACCTGGGTCAGCAGCATGCAAGGACAGAAAGCACCTTAACTCCTGTGCTCTCTCTGCCCCCGAATCTCAGGGTTTAACTGTAATAGGAACTTCGTTTTCGCCAAGCAACTGTACTAGTATTTCTCAAAGTAGAAATTCTGGTCCTGTGACACTTCGCTAGCTTAGTTTAAAAATAGTAAATGCTGTCCCACACACATACACACCTTTAATGAGCCTGTATGAAAGAATTTGCACTCCCTGAGCCCACAGCCATACCACCCTGAACGTGTCTGGTCTTTATTAAAGAATTTGTTTGACCCAACGATTTCCTTGGTATTTCACCAGGGAAGCCGTTTTCTGTGGAATTGCTCTTTGATTTTATTTGAAAAAAAAGCTGTTCTGGTGTTATCTTTGTTAACTTCACAATTCGAAGGTTTTACTTTGTTCACTCTTACATTAACAGAAATAAATTTTAAAAGGTGAGAGGGCCATATTTGCAAGTCTCATTGACATTTATGCCTCTTCTGAAGTTTTAAAACACAGGTAAAAGTAATCTTGTCCCAAAGTTACTGAGATGGTAAAAGAGTTACTAAATCTGAAAATCAGCATCTTAATATAATGATCTTTTGGGTTTTCTTGTACTGGATTCTCAAATCAGTGCACGTCTGCTACCTGAGAAGTTGACAATTTATACAACACTAGTTGGATTGCTGAATGCCAGGAATTACAATTTTGGTGGAGAATTTGTGGAAGCCATGATTCGTCAACTGAAAGAATCATTGAAAGCAAACAATTATAATGAAGCTGTATATTTGGTAAGTTCCGTTTTTTTCCTTGTATGTGTGGCAGTGTGGGGTGGGGTAGGTGCCACTCTCAGTGGTGTGGGGTTGAAGGGCCATGGTGGTATGAGCCCAGTAGAGCTTGTCAGGGGCCACCATGGCGACACTCAGCTGTGCTGGGAGTGGGTGGAAGGGCATATGGTGATCAAACTCAGGGTTTGAATGTGCTAGCCATGAGCTCATGTTCATGCTACTGTTTCCAGCCCAGCAGCTGTTCTTTTGAAACCAGAGCTCATCTCTGTGGCCCCTTTGCAGTGTGTAATTCTTAACATTCTTCCTTGGCACTTGAATTGAGAACTGCCACTTTCCCTAGGATCTCTCGCTGCTACCCCTCAGTCTCCTTTCACTCGGTCCTCTTTCTTCTTCTTCCCTCAAATTTTTGTGTTTCCCAAACTTCTTTCCTCATTTCGTTGTTTTTTGACCCTCTCCCAAGCATTCTCGCTAGCTCTCGTAGCTTCATCAACTACCTTATTTTGATGGATCCACACCCCCCCCCCCCCCATCCTAGGACTTTTTATATGTTTTCCGCCCACAACCCCTTTCATTTTTGGTTTTGGTGCCATACAGGCAGTGCTCATGGGTCACTCCTGGCGGTTCTTGGGGGACCGTGTGTGGTCAGGAATGGAACCTGGGTTGGCAGCATCAAAGGCAGGCGCCTTGACGGCTATACTGGGGGAGGGGGATCACAGAGCGCCATTGGCCAAGCATCAAACCAGCATTCCCACATTGCCAGATCTGTGCTCTATAGGAACGGCCCTGGGCTGCCACACTCCGTTCCTCCCTCTGTTCTCCTGGGCATGTGGTCCTTATTAAAAACTCACTTTCTTACCACTCAGTGGCCATAGTACTTAAAAGCCTGCTGAACAGATGATGTATGGGATAGCAGAAAGTGAATATTAGAATACTTGCTTAGTAAATTAAAAATGGAATTAGGCCTTAATAGCTAGAAGGACAGCGGTCCACTGTATATCATAAATAGACACTTAATCTAGGTGTATGATTGTGTTTCTTTTTACTGAATATAAGATTATAACACTTTGGAGATCCATCAGCCTATAAAAGGTTAAATTCAGCCTATAAAAGGTTAAAAGCCTATAAAAGGTTAAATTCAGATTTCTTAGTTTGAGGCTACATGTTTGCCCCAATTTTTAAAAAAAATCTGTTAAATCTGTATCAGTGTCTCATCTGAAACCCTCCAAGCTCATCTGAAAACGGTATATTTTTCCCCAAGCCCTTGCTCTTCAACGTTAGCCATCTTTTTGCTCTCGCCCATTTTTATCTCGTTGACATCTTCCACAACTCTCCTTGTCACCATTGCTAGAGCACTTTCATTTCCCTTCTAGTTAAGGACTCATTCCTTTGGGCCGAGATGGTGCTTGTCCAGTCTGTTAGACTGTGCTCACATAGGATAGCGACGTCAGGATTCATTAGATAACAAGGCACTCACTAAATCCGAGTTTGACGTTTGTTTCTATATTCTGGGCAGAAGTTTCAGTAAACCAGGAAAGAGAGTAGCTAGAACTTTTCGCAGAGCGTGTAAACCTCCAAATGCACTAATTATCATCCATCCCATCTCAGAAGTGCCCGGCTTTGTTACTCCCACCCCAAGGCAGCCACAGACAATAGAAAAGTGAGCATGGCTCTCTCTGTTCCAAAAAAGTTTGTTCATGCATTATTTTCTGTTTCAGTTTGTTCTGGATTATTTTCATATATTATAAAATATTCTTTTGAGCCTTTCCCAAGTATTTGAAAATCAAAACCATTCTTAGTTCACAAGCTTTATTAAAAAAAAAAAGCCAAAACAATGTCATTGGGCATCTTTGGCTTTGGGGCTCTACTTTTCCATATTTTTGACTTAAATAGACCAAAATTACTCTTTAAATCTGAAAGACTGTCTTCTCCACAGGTTCGTTTTTTGTCAGATCTTGTGAATTGTCATGTCATTGCCGCCCCTTCAATGGTTGCTATGTTTGAGAATTTTGTAAGTGTCACTCAGGAAGAAGATGTGCCTCAGGTAAGAAAGTCCCTAGTGCTGAATTCTTGGTAAAAAGTTGGTTACTTTCAGTATCAACAAAATAACACATTCTCTCTCTCTCTCTCTCTCTCTCTCTCCTCTCACCCCCCTCCTCTCCCTCCCCCCCTACTTTCCCTCTCCCTCTCTCCCTCTCTCCCTTCCTCCCTCCCCCTCTTCTCTCTCTCCTTCCCTCTCTCCCTCTTTTTTTTGGTGGGGAGAGGGGTATGGTGTTGGGATTCAAACCCAGGACCTCACATGTGTTCTATCACTAACTGCAGCTAAACAGGTTATCATGTTATGAATTCTCCTTTGATTTTTGGGCCACGTCCAGCTCAGGGGCTACTTATTCCTGGCTTACACTTGGGGGCCGTTCCCCAGCAGTGCCTGGAGAACCATACATTGCTGGGGATCAAACCTGGGCCTCCCACATGCAAAACTTGTGCCTGTTTAGCTGTCTTCCGAGCCCCTTGTGATATAAATTCTTAATATCTAAAAGCTAAGTCAACTGGTATTTTCGTAGGTTCACGTGACACTCTGTTGTAGTTCAAATGACCTGTCTAATAAGATTGAGACCAGTTTATTTATTTATTTATTTTGCTTTTTGGGTCACATCCGGCGATGCACGGGGGTTATTCCTGGTTCTGCACTCAGGAATTACTCCTGGCAGTGCTCAGGGGACCATATGGGATGCTGGGAATTGGACCCGGGTCAGCCGCATACAAGTCAAACGCCTTACCCGCTGTGCTATTGCTCCAGCCCCCCAGACCAGTATATTTAGAAGTGTATATTTAAACATGAGACAATGTCTTAAACTTCATGAAATGGCTTCATAAGATTTTATTCATGAATAAATATAATAAACTTTTTTAAAAATTCTTTTAAGGTTCGACGGGATTGGTACATATATGCATTTCTGTCATCTTTGCCCTGGGTTGGAAAGGAGTTGTACGAAAAGAAAGACGCAGAGATGGACCGTATCTTTGCCAGCACTGAAAGCTATCTTAAGTAAGGGCACGGCTCATGGTACTGTTTATTATTTAGGTTCTGATAATTTTCCGTTGTAACAGATGTGTTCTATTTTCTGTTGGCAAAACAAGTTGAGTTTTATTTCTCAAAAAATAATTTGGAAAGTTTCCCCGAAGTGTCCTTAAGGTAAACTCATTTTCCTACTGTTGTTACTTGTGGAGACTTCAGAGTAATCAAGTATGTTTGCTTACTTTGCTGGTGCAAAGGACTTGGTAGATTGGCTTCTTTGGAGCTACATTTCCACAGGTCTGCAAAAGAGTAAAACATTCTGACATGGTTCTCAGGGTAATGAGAGTCACCTGCAGTATTCAGCTACGTTCCAGCCTCAGCCAGCTCCAGACGACTGAATTGCTATATTTGAGAAAGAAGCTTGAACATCTGTTTCAATTCGTTCTATTAGCAGAGGACCACTGCTTTAGCACATAACCACATGCATATGTCATGTAAGCTAAGCCTAAATCAAGTCGTTAGCCACCTACCCGGACCATGTTGCTTGAGTAATTCGACTCTGATGAAAAATAGTTTGTATCTTCCCATTACCCACTTTCTAATAGTGTGAAAGCTAGATTTATCTTATTAAATAAAATAACAGTAATTAGGCTGTATTATTAAACTTAGATTTTCATATGAGCATGATAATGGTCTTCTGTCCTTAAATTTTTTTCAGATTAATTTTGTCACGGGTTAAATTTTGTTTAATAATAGTTGCTTCTTAAAGATTTTGAATCTTAGTTACAAGTAAAAAGAAATACAAAGATAGAAATCTGAGGGGCTGAAGCGATAGCACAGCGGGTAAGGCGTTTGCCTTGCACGCAGCCAACATGGCTGACCCTGGTTCGATTCCCAGCATCCCATATGGTCCCCCGAGCACCACCAGGAGTAATTCCTGAGTGCATGAGCCAGGAGTAATCCCTGAGCATCACCAGGTGTGACCCAAAAAGGAAAAAAGAAAAAAAAAGATAGAAGTCTGATTTTTTTTTTAAATAATGCTGTCTTCAAGTGATCGATTTTTTTTTTAAATATTTTTGGTTTTGAAAATGTACTTTCAAAATGTAGATGCTTGTAAAAGAGTGAAATGGACTCTTGCTTCGTTTTGTCTACATTTGGTAATTATGCTAGGGATGCAAAGAAGCTAGGGATGTAAACTGTTGAAATGAAGTATCTTAGCATATTTAATATTGGTAGATTTCATCAAATTGCTCTGCAAAGGGATTATACTCTTCCAAATCTCTTTAGAGAGATTCCGTTTAACCTTTCTGCCATAACCTTTGAGAATTTCAGAGTGCATACTTGCACATATTTTGGCAATACATATAGTAACCAGAATTTTTTTATATCAACCAGTCTGATATGTAAAAACATTATTTCATTGATTCAGTTTGTGTTTTATTATAAAAATAGCTAAGCATCTTTTTATGTTTTTAAACGATCTCAATGTGGATTCTCACTTTTATCATTAGAAGGCGCCAGAAGACTCATGTGCCCATGTTACAAGTATGGACTGCAGAAAAACCACACCCACAGGAAGAGGTAAATGGAGTTCAGTCTTTCCTGGTCAGGCATAGGGCAGTCTTGGGAGATCTTATCCCCAAAAGATTGAAATGTTTCCATTTGTGTAGCTTAATGAGGTTTCTGCATTTTAAGTTAGAGATATAACTTATATCCTCATAGCCTTCGACATATACATAGTAAATTGTTAATAAACATTAGAATGTAGTTGAAGTATTCCCTCTCCTGTGAGATTCCAGATACAGAGTTGATGTGTTTTTATTTACATACTGAATTTGAGAAATAAGAGCAAGTCATGACTCCAGAAAGCTTGATTTCAGAAAACAGGTGATTCAAACAGAAATTCAACTCCGTTCCTTTATACTATGATACAGGGTAGCTTACTGTTGAGTCATGTGTTTTGGAAGGTAAATGATTCTTGGTTTTGTCCAGTCAAAATGTACTTTAACCTCCAAATACATATATTAATGTTTAAAAATGAATCTGTCTTTAGTATTTAGATTGCCTCTGGGCCCAGATTCAGAAATTGAAAAAGGATCGCTGGCAGGAGCGGCACATCCTAAGACCTTATCTTGCCTTTGACAGCATCCTGTGTGAAGCACTACAGCACAGCCTGCCTCCTTTCACTCCGCCGCCTCACACCGGAGACTCCGTGTACCCGATGCCAAGGGTCATCTTCAGGATGTTTGATTACACAGATGATCCAGAGGTACGTGACCAGCTCAGTTTCTAGCAGAGAACTTGTGGCTTTGTGTGTGGCTTTGTGCTTGTATTTTAATCTGGCCTGAGTATACCTGCGATGAATTTGAATTGACTTCAAATTCAGAGAAGTCAACAGCAGTGAAGTCGATGAAGGGTACCAGGTTATTGTACCATAAGTTAGGTTTGACATTGTGAGTAGATTGTTCAGAGATGGCACAGCCTACATCCGGACTCAGCACGGTCGGTCCCTGTCAGAATCCCCAGAGCATTCTTCAAGGACTTACAACAAAAACTTCTAAAATTTGTATGGAGCTATAAAACTCCAGAATAGTCAGCAAATTCTGAGAGAGAAGATGAAAGGCATCACATTCCCTGACTTCATACTATAAAGCTATAGTAATTTTAAAAAAAAATGGTGTAGTCTGAAATAAAAACCTTCATGGACAGTTGATTTTCAGCAAAAGGGCTAGGTGAATTAAGTGGAAGAAGGAAAGCCACTTCAGATTTTCTCAGTGCTAGGAAAAATGGTTAGCTTTGTGCAAAGGAAAAAATATAATCGGACTGTTCTCACATGCCATACACAAAGGTGAATTTAAAATGGATTAAAGGCCTCGCTATTAGGACGAGATCCACGAGGAAATCATCGACGAAACTCCATGATATTGACCTCAGGTATCTTTAATGAGATGGCCCATTATAATAGCCAAGAGCCCAAGGTCAGGCTGGAGAGGTAGTGGAGGGGCTATCTCTGGCACCACACGTGGTCCCCTGAGCACCACCCAGGCTCATTCTTGAGCAGAATTTGGTGTGACCCAAATGCCCTCCGCCATAAAAATATGTTTTATGCATACATTCGTTAAAACATCACGTTGTAGCTCAGGCAAAATGTAAGCTTTTTACAAATAATATGGACATATTTTTATTTGAGGTATCCTAGTTCAAATAGTATTCAAGTACTTTTATAATTGCAGAGCTACTGCACCAATCCCTCCACCACTGTTTCAGGATTCCTCCAACCATTGTCACACTTTGCCCACCCCCATTCTCAAAAGTGGTCATGTCATATGAGTAAGATTATCTTTTACTTTTATTCCATTGTGTATAACTAGCTATGCTATGTTATGTGCGATAGCACAGCGGTAGGGCGTTTGCCTTGCACGCAGCCAACACGGCCGACCCGAGTTCGATTCCTCCGCCCCTCTCGGAGAGCCCGGCAAGCTACCGAGAGTATTCGATACGCCAGACACAGTAACAACAAAGTCTCCAATGGAGACGTTATTGGGCCCGCTCGAGCAAATCGATGATCAACGGGAGGGCCTTTACCTTTACCTTTACCTTATAACTAGCAGTTTTTTGTTTCACTCATCTGTTGCTGGGTTTCTTGGCTTCCAGATCTCAGCTATTACAAATAGTGCTGTGTTGAACATATGTGAACATAGGTCTTTTCAGATTGATGTTTTTGTGTTCTTGGGGTAGATAGCCAGAGATGGAAGGGTAATAAGGAAGTTCTCTTCGAAGTGTGTTTAGGGTTCTCCAAGCCATTTTCCAAAGAGGCTGAACCATACAGCAGTTATATAGATATATTTCATTGCATGTTTGACCTTGCATAATACTTGAAATAAAGTTTTGTTTCATGTTACAGAAATAATCCACTAATTTTAAAGAAAAACTGGGTTGATAATACACTAAAATAATTTAGTTTAACTCGTGTAAAAATTGAATGAAGTTGTCAGTGATAGTATTTTGTCAAATTTAGTAGGAAAAAACACTGGAATGGAACGAATGCTTGTAGATAGAACCAAACACAGCAGTGAAATTCACTTTTGAGCTTTTATTCCCACACCCAGTACAGAGTCTGAAATATAATAGTCTCCAAGTAATTATTAAAGAAGTGATAAAAAAATACCTTTTCTGTTTGTAATATGTACATTATTTTTCTTTCTAGGGCCCTGTAATGCCCGGCAGTCATTCAGTGGAAAGATTTGTAATAGAAGAGAATCTTCACTGCATCATTAAATCCCACTGGAAGGAAAGGAAGACTTGGTAAGATCCTTCTCATGGTATTTCAAGAGGGAAAAAGAGGCGCAGTTGGGTGTTTTTTGTACGAGCAGAATGCATGTTGAGTGTATGGGGAACTCCCTCTTGTCCCTCTGTCCTCTCCAGCATGTGCTTTTGCTCTCTGGAGGCCTCTCTGCCAAACCGTATTTTTCTGGGTCTGCATAGAAATGTGCCTACGGTGGATGCCATCTTTTGTGCTGGTGGGTAGTTACCATGTGTGTGAAGAAATAACTTGGCTGTCAAGCTGTTGAGGTTTGAATATTTTGAGTTAAATGAATATTAATGGCATTACTCTTTATGGGCTGGAGGGATAGCACAGTGGGTAAGGCGTTTGCCTTGCACGCGGCCAACCGGGTTCGATTCCTCCGCCCCTCTCCGAGAGCCTGGCGAGCTACCGAGAGTATCTGGTCCGCATGGCAAAACCTGGCAAGCTCCCCATGGCGTATTCAATATGCCAAACACATTAACAACAAGTCTCACAATTTGTTGTGAGACGTTACTGGTGCCCGCTGGATCGGGAGGATAGTGCTACAGTGTACTCTTTTTATAGCATTTAGACACCAAACTTTGGGAAAGTCTATTTTCAATCTATCTTTTTTTAATCTGGGACAGTTTGGGTTTGTGTGACCCTTAAAGTCAAAAGGGTATAGTATATATGAGGAGCAATCTGCCTTGTTAAGTGTTTTTAGTAGAGCTGAATATGATTCTTCAGATTGCTATACTTTTGGTTGTCCAAGAGTCTTAGACAACAACAGATTTTTCATAGTGGTAAATAAGTTAAATTTTGTGGTAGTTAAGCAACTGAAACCTAGAACATTTTAAGAAAAAAAAAGATTTTCTTTCCATACATTAAGGACACTCTCCTGTTGATGCTACTCACTTTGTTTTCACCTGTCTTTGTGTGGTCGTTGAATTTACTTTTATTTTTACAGTGCCGCCCAGCTTGTGAGCTACCCAGGGAAGAACAAGATCCCCCTGAATTACCACATCGTTGAGGTATGCCTTATCCAGGGGTTCCTTTCTAAGGGTCGAACTCTCTCTCCATTTTAAAATGTAAGATACTTTTGGCATTTTTTTCCTTGCTGCTTCTCAGGTACTGGAAATTAGCAGAGGAACGAGGAAATGGCTGTCAGTTTTAGTTCTCTGTTAGCCATGTTAGTAAAGAGAACAAGGTTGATACCTGTAGCCAAGTGGGATTTTGAGTTGAGGCATACTCATATATTTATCATACGTGATAAGTGTAGACATACTTATTATATAGCATGTCTTCATGCATGGATAGTTAGGCTACTTCTAGCTGTGTCCTTGCATGGTCCCTTCACAGATGTGCAAATGGCTTAAGTAATTCCAAATACTATATTACTTTAGGCACTAGCTACCTTTAACCGTGTTTATCTGGCCTCATTATTTGCATACACCTGATTAGTACATTATTTTCTGTATCGTAGATGAATTAGAATGAATCTTAATAATCAAAAGAGACAGGAAAGTAAGAAGAGTAGAAGATTCTTATGGTTCCCTGTTGTCATGCAGAGTTGAACATAGAGTATATGAACATATAGTATAGTTGAACATCTTACAGAGATTTGCATTTCCAAGTCCCTAAGTAGTGTGTGCTATCTTAAAACTACTCGTCTGTCCAAGGATATGAACTTGAATCATCAATGCAAGTCATAGTTTGAGATGGATGGAAATTCATCTGTCATTAATTACAGGAGTGTGGGAGGTGGGAGTGAGAGGAGGAAATTCAGACCAGGCTGTTTGAATCCAGGTAGGTCATTCACAGAAGATGCAGGGAGAGTGGAGACTTCTGAATTAGAGGCATGGCCAAGATGTCCTGGACCCAAAAGGACTTGTTGGTACCAGTTTCAAATAGCAGTAGAGAGTCACTTGTTTGTTCTGTTCCATCCACAGAGTCAAGTGTTTTTCACTAGTTATAAAGCAATTATGGGTCATTGGGTCCCTTAGCAAATTGAACCTTCCTGAGTCAACATGGATACTTCTAAAGTCATAATCATCCTGTTCTCTTGGAAGGTATAGATTTGGTCCTGGAACAATAATACCACAGGTAGGGCTTTTGCCTTGCACGTGGTTGACCCAGGTTTGATCTTCAGTACATTATGGTCCCCTGAGCACTGTCAGGTGTGGCCTGAAAACAGAAGGGAAAAATAATTTTTTAAAGAGTGTATAGAAAACTAATAATTTCATGTGGTTGATTTACACTTAAGTGGAGAAGAAATTTGTATTACTGAATTCAATTTTAGATCCTCTTATTTTTAAGAATGTTAACAGATTAAAAATAATTTTTTAGTAAAACTAATGTTAACCATGAAATGAAAGAAACGAAAGCTAATTAGAATATCGAGACTTACCTAATTGTAGAAGTGCATTGATCAGTAGCATTGCATTAAGCTGACTCACTCTTCTTTTGTAGGTGATCTTTGCAGAACTGTTTCAGCTTCCGGCACCTCCTCACATTGATGTGATGTACACAACCCTTCTTATTGAATTGTGCAAACTTCAGCCTGGCTCTCTACCCCAAGTCGTATCCTTTTTCCTTTGTTTTTAAGCAGACACTCTTCAGGCTAGCTTTAAAGGATTAGTAAGTATTTCTGTATTTGGCTTTAAATCATTTCACGGGCACAGTCTGGCATTTTTTAAATTTTTTTATTCCTCCCGACCCCCCCTTCCCTTCCCTTCCTGCTTGTCTTTGTTGAGATGGCTGTAAGTTTTCACACTTGCTTGCAGTGCCCCTGGCCTCAACCCCTTGTAGTACCCAGGATCCCGGTGGTAGGAATTCCAATCTGCCATTGAACTGCCCGGGCTGCCCCTGACGTTTCTCTTTTTTTTTTTTTTGTTTTGGTGCCACACCCAGCTGTGTGCAGGGCTTGCATCTGGCTCTGTGCTCAGAGCTCAGCCCTGGCTGTGCTCAGGGGACAATTTGCAGTATCTGGGATCAAACCAGGGTCAGCCATGAAAACTTTAGGAGAGCTTTTTGGGGTTTTTTGGAAGTGGGCGGGGTGCTGGGGAGCGGAGGCATTGATGGCTTTGAGCCATGCCTGGCAGTGCTCAGGGCTTACTCCGCGTTTTTTGCTCAGGGACTGTTTCTGGTGGAACTCAGGGACCATATATGGTACTGGGATCGGCTGCATGTAAGGCAAGTGCCTTTGCCCCATACTGTTTACTCACCATTTCTTTAGAAGTTAAATATAAGTCTGTTTCACGATCGTGCTGGTCCTTATTTAGGGTTAGTTTGAGGTTTTTTGTTTTTGCTTTTACCAAAAAGTGAAAAGTATAATGGGGTACTTGGCGGTTTTGTTTGTTCTGTTTTGATTTGGGGCCACACTGGTGGTACTCAGGGATCACTCTTGGCGGGACTTGGGACCATAAAGTGGGGCCATGGATCAACCCCAGCCGGGTCCATTATGTGGAAGGCGAGCACCCTCCCTGCGGTGCTTCGCTCTGGCCCCATATTTTGGGCTTGGTCCTGCTTTTGCTTGTTGCAGTGTTCCTTTCCAGAGTGAGGTTTATGGTGGCTCCTGTGTCAGCAGGTCTGTCAGTGGGATTTTCCCAGGGGCATGCGCTCTCTTTTGTGTCTTGTGTCACATTGAACTTAGGTGTGTCGTTGATTTTTTTTTTTTAACGACAGAATGCTATGCTTAATTGACTTTATATATATTAATAAAATGTTCACATGCATGGGGAAACCAGATATGTATATGACTCACTGTTGTGTTATTTGTTTTATTGTGGTGGTCTGGAAACTAATCCACAATGTCTTTGAAATGTGCTTGTATTTATTTACCCACGAGAATTAAAAGCATGGGTTTCTATAAAGACCTGGGAATTGATGTTCTCAGAAACTCTTAGTAATAGCCTAAAGCTGGAAATGAATCAAATTGCCAACAATATGTGAATGGAGGCCCTTTTCCCTCTGCAGAAGGCTGTTTTTTCTCTTGTACACAAATCTCTTTCTCTTCCCTTACATTTCTCTTAGTAATTTCTTTAAAATAAAACTTTTGCCAAAAAATATATATGCAACACATGTATGAATGGATAAATTGTATTATCATCCATCATATCTATACAGTGAAATAGTAACAAAAAGGACTAAGTTTTTGATATTTGAATGAACTGCAAAATAATTACGCTGAGTGAAAGAGCTAAAATTTCATTTGACTCCTTTTATTTGACTCCATTTACACTGTGGAAAATGCAAAGAAATTAGAGTACATTGGCAAGTTGTGTTTGCTTGGGTTCGTTGATCACCTCAAAACCTTTTTAAAAGGTCAGGATGCTTAAAACTATTAGTCATTATGGAAGTGCTCAAAAGTTTTATGTCTTCTATAAGAGCGTATTTTGAAGGAGGGAGAGAATAGTTTTCCTTATCCTCAAACTGACCAGCTTGCACAAGCAACTGAAATGTTATACATGCGTTTGGACACAATGAATACTACATGTGTAGACAGGTAATGAATTTACTTTTTTACTGGTTGTTATCAACTCCTACTCCTCCTTCTCTACTAAAATCTGGTTGACAAAATGTGTCTTGACAGGAATTTCCAAGATTATTTTCCTTTCTATGTCCCTAAAAAAATCCTCTTTGTAAAATAACAGAGCTCAGACTTCTGAGGAACATTACATTTTCTAGTCTAGCTTTCACTCTAAATTGATGTCCCAGCTGAAGTTTTATTTAATTATTTACTTGTTTGATGCTTTGCTATAGTCTTGGTTTTCCCTCTAAAAAAGAAAATACACCCTCATGGCTCCCCTTCTTCTAAAAACACATCTGCTCTAACTACACAAGGATCACCTCCCAACATCAGTCATTTTGTGGAAAGAAATTAGAAGCCAGCTTGCCACTTCTTAAAAGCATGGTATCTAGAATTCAAATCATCGAACTAACTCAAGATAGTAAGTCATTGATATAGGAAAACCCTTACTGATCACTCCTTATAAGTCAATTATATAAATATATGTAATACCTGGTACAAAGCAGGCATCATTACACCATTTACATGACAGGAGAATTTAGTTTGAAGGAGTGAGATAAGAGGCTGTAATTTTGAAATAGATTACAGGGTACGCAAGGAAATGGTTAAGGTACAGCCATTGATGTGCTTTTCATTTAAATAAGAGAGTTATATTTGTCTGAATGTTTATATAAATTTCTGTTATGGATTTATAACCAAACACCCTTTTTTTTGTTCACAACCCCCCTTGTCTGTATAGGTTTATTAATTGGTTTTCCCATCATCTCAGTAATTTCCAGTTCCGATGGAGTTGGGAAGATTGGTGAGTGGTAATGGGATTTTTTCCCCCCTTCCTTTCTTTACTATAATGAGGAAATCTCCAGGCTTGTGCTTTGCACGCAGGAGTGCTGGCACCACACGGTGTCCTGACTACTTTTGGGAGAGGCCCCACCCGCACCCCTCCAGCACTGCGGGGTGCGACCCAACTCCTGCCCCTCCCCCCAAATATGCACAGTCTGGTTCATTTCTTATATTTTTACATGATGCAATTTAGATAGAAGAAAACTATTATAACTGTACGAGTTAGGTGCAAGTGCAGACTATGTACAAGAACTTAATTTAACAAAAAAAAGTGCTGGGAGGTCATACAGGAACCCATGCTTTGTTTGCACCCTTCCTGGTTCCAACGCTGGTATCATCTGGTTCCCTGAGCATTGCTAGGTGTGACCCTAGAGGTCCCTGAGCATCACTGGGGTGGCCCAGGTCGTCAGTGTCCATGCAGGACCTAAGCAGCACCACCTCCTCGGACCTTTACATTGAACCTTTGGTCCATTGGCCAAGAATTTCTGGGAAGGCATCCCATCCCCAATACTTTTCTTTTGGGGGCACATCCAGTGGTGCCCAAGGCTCACTTCTGGTGGGGCTTAGTGGAAGGCCAGGGGTGGAACCCAAGTCAGCTTCATGCTAGGACGGCACCCTATCCGCTGTAATATCACTGCTCCCCCATCTGGCCACCCATTGTTGTTGTTTTTGGTTTGGTTTGGTTTTTTCCAATTTAAAAAAGCTTACAGGACTACTTTTCTTCATTAGGTCAGATTGTCTTTCTCAAGATCCTGAAAGCCCTAAACCAAAGTTTGTAAGAGAAGTTCTAGAAAAATGTATGAGGTACGTTTTCTGTGCTTTCTCCTAGTGTTGGTGTCCTTATGTTAGGGTCAGAGACAGCTTTTTCTCTTTTCTGCATTTGTAATGTATATTTAGCAATTATTAGCTGAGTCCAAGGGGTTGGAAATTGTGATTTTTCTGGGTAAGTTAAATATAAAGGCTACAAATAATGAACAATGTTTTCTGAGGTTTTTCTTTGTATTGTAGGTTGTCTTACCATCAGCGAATATTAGATATTGTTCCTCCTACCTTCTCCGTGCTTTGTCCCGCAAATCCAACGTGCATTTACAAATTTGGGGATGAAAGCAGCAGTAAGTAAAATCCTCTGTCTCTAAAAAGTACCATTGCAAGTATTCTCTGAAGTTTCATAAACTGGGAAAAACAAACTTTCAAATGTATGTCATTTTAAAGGAGATCTATGCTTTTCCTCTGTTTTATTCGCCTTGAAATCCTTTGAGGATTCATCAGATCTACTTAGTTATTATTCCTCAATTTTTTTCTTTTTATATTGTTGCATTCAAGATAACATAGGTTTAGCAGGGTAAATTTATAGCCAGAACTTAGTGAAATGGAAATGTGTCCAGTTGATATATATTATCCAGCGTAAGTTCAGTTTTGGGGTGCTTGGGGATACAGGTGCACAGAGACCCGGATCATCAGTATGCCTCAAGAAGTAAATTCCAAAACATGGTTTCACTCTCTGGTCACATGGTCAGAGATTACGCTGTGGATGAGAGTCAGCTTGATCTGCTGCTTGCACTTTACAAGTACCTAGACTTCATGGAGGTAGTGTAGTAAGCTGAGTAAGCTGCTGTACATTGGTGATCGCTGGTGGCATAAGCTAAATGTAGCTTTGCCAAGTTAGTCTTCTCAGGTGCACTGACCAGGCTACCTCACGAGCCTTCTGTTCACGTGGTATAGCAGCTTTCTGCTTTCTGAGTCCACTCCTCCCTATCTCCTCGGCACCCTGTTCTACATCTGTGCCTATGTCTGTTTCCCTCGAAATAAACTCAGTTTGTCCCAAGGCTTAAAAAAAAAAAATTTATTTTTGAGAGAGAAAATGGCTTCAAAGAGAGAGTTGTGGTGAGAACCTTGTGATGAGAGAACTGCAACTCAGACCTGGGCCTGCCGGCAGCCGCACCCCTACCCTCTGTGCTGCTCTGAGGAAGAACCCTTGGTGCAGGCCCAGGAGGGCACTCTTTTGTCCTACACTGACTCGGGGGGCCCTTAATACCAGAGAGCTAAACTGCTGCTGGGGACCGAGCCTTTCCCCTCCTCTAATAAAGGCGAGCCTAGCGTTTAAGGCCACTAAATAGTCTGTTATTTTACGGTTCCTCCCCAACAACCCTTTGTTCCTGCCAGGCCCATGGTTCCATGTTTTTTTTTTCTCTCGTGGTGTCTTCTTTAGTTTGTGCCTTTGTTCCCATCTGAAAAGCCCTTTCTAGTTCCAGTTCCTCCTCTGGGGTCCACTCAAGTTTAACATTTTGAAACCCGAGTAAGCCAATTTGAAATCCTCGCTGGCAAATTTATGTGACTGTCTTGGTTCTCCGGCTGGAATGTAGGCTCTTCAGTGGCAGGGCCCTATTTTCCTTCATGGATTTTTCTCCCCTAATTTCAGGGTAAAGCGCACAGTACAAATGACATGTTATAATTGACTTTATTCATTTCAGATTCTTAGTCACTGATTCTCTGCCAGGATTGCCTTTTTGTTAGCTCTCGTCTACCTTACGAGAAAAATTAATTTCTAACCCTAACCCCAGCCCTAAATCTAATCCTAACCTGCCCCGCAAAAGAGTGGATTTCTTGTTCTGGGAATGGCTTGCAGAATTCACTGGGGCACGTTTTATGCAGTCAGGTTTTAACTAATAGACACATGAAGTCTTGGTGTAAGGATCAAGCTTTTGCAGACTTATGTCAGGGGAGGGGAGAAACTGACAAAAACTTTCAAACCTTGTTCAAACTCAGACTCAGTTTTTTCTGTCTCAGGAAAAAGATAAAGGGCCATTGGCAAAAAATAAAAGAAATAACACTAGTTCTCTACTTACAACCACTGATGGGACTTGGGGGCTGTTGTAGGCAGCTGTCACTGTCCACATTTCATCTCATCCCTTAGGGAGATTAACCTCTGTCCCCTTCTTCCCCACCCCCAGTGTGCTCTGAATTTTGATTAAATGTTCTTAAGGATGTATGTATTGAGAATTATGACTTATTCTGTATGATAAAACATGGACTTTTCCATTGAAAGGACTAAATCATTGACTATTAAAACTTTAACTTGTACAAATTAAATACTGATTTGGGGGGATAGGAGACTCTGTTTTGAAAGGCAAATATGCAAAGTTTTCAGTTTTGAAACAGTTTGCAAATAAAACCCTGGCCTTACTCCCTCTCTTCCCCGTTTCTCTCTGTTCTTAGATTCTCTTCCTGGACATTCTGTTGCCCTCTGTTTATCTGTTGCCTTTAAAAGTAAAGCAACCAATGATGAAATCTTCAGCATTCTGAAAGATGTACCAAATCCTAACCAGGATGACGATGATGGTAAGGGGTTAAATACTTCTTGAGTAGAACCAAGCATATGCTAAAGCATAGACTATAATTGACAATGGGAGTTTCTCTCAGGACACCAGTTCAGTCCCTGTACAGTTCCTAAACACTGCTAGGAGTGACCTTTGAACACAGAGATCCCCAAGCACCATAGAGAGTAATCCGACTCCTCGTCTGCCCCCCAAAAAAGATACTTAAACGTTTCTTGTTTTCCACTCCACATTTCCAACAGGAGGGGGCCAAAGTGATAGTACCGCAGGTAGGGCCTCTGCTTTGCATGTAGCTGACTCGGGTTCATCCCCGGCATCCCATATCATCCCCCAGCACCACAGGGAGTGATCTCTGAGCAAGACAGAGATAAGGCGTGGTTACTGCCAGGTATAGACCAAAGAACAGATCAGAAAGTTTCTAACAGAAAATCTGGTATATTACAAAATTGGGTTTTCCTCCAATTTAAGCTGTTGCAGTGTGCTGAGTGCAGACCATATGATTTCAGCCAAATCATTGAGTATCCCTGCTGCCCCACACTAAAGTGTAAAAATTAACAAAATAACTCCTACATTTACCTGAATCCATAAATGAGTCCACAAGCATACCATGAAATTACAGTTAAATGAGACAACGCAGGACCACACAAAACAAAGACATCACGGATACAGTTGAAACAACTGAAAAAGGTGACTGAGACATCTGGGTAGCCATTTTCAGGGGGAAATGTTTTATTTGGAAGTGTAAGTCATAATGAAGGTATTAAAATAATACATTGTCGGGCTTTTTTTTTTTTTAACTATTTTAGACGTCTTGTAACACTTTTCAAAGTTAAAGGTTTACTCTAATGTTTTTGTATTAACATCTCACCACTGTATGGAGAGAAACAAGCATGGGAATCTCTAGTTCTTTAAGAGAAACGGATCGGGTAGCTTAGAGGGATAGAGCATGTACTTTGCATAGGACAGATCCAGATCAATCCCTGACACTGTATGATGGTGCCCTGGCACCTCGAGAATTAGCCCCCAAGCATTGCTGGGTGTGACCCAGATACCAAAATAGCAACCGTGAAGAAACTGATGGTGAACCATAAGGAAACCATCCTTCAAATCTAAGAGTTAAGATTAGTTTTATAGGGGCTGGCTGGAGAGAGAATACAGGGGTCAGGCAATACATAGCCTTGCTGGCAGCAGACCCTGGTCTAACCCCTGTGTGTGGGTCCCTGAGCACAGAGCTAGGAGTAAACCTTGAGTACTGCCAAGTGTGACCCAAAAAAAAGCATATGAGTGTTTTAATCAGTGTTTTAATGGCCTTTTATTTCTTACTGGTAACTCAGAAATCGTCCATGAGTGTCTTGAGTTATTTGTGTGTGAGCCTGCTGTCTGCTTGGCATTCTAGTTGGAGACCCAGGAATTGTTACCTTAGACTTTTCTCATTGTCTCACTGTGGTATTTTTCAGATGAAGGATTCAGTTTTAACCCATTGAAAATAGAGGTCTTTGTGCAGACCCTGCTACACTTGGCAGCCAAGTCCTTCAGCCACTCCTTCAGTGCTCTCGCAAAGTAAGTTTAGTAAGAACCCACAGCCTTTCTTGAATGTTGGTAACGTCATATCATTGTTATGCTAGTGATACAGTAACTCTCAGGTGCCACGGTTGAATATAAGCATCTTTATCACAGAATTAAGTAATTTGATCAGTAGTTTCCGGTTATGGTAACTGCACACTTTGTCCTGACCCTTTCCGTCTCTATGTAAGTCTGCATCTCAACATGAAGTGTTCACATTTTCACATAGACCTGTGGAGAAACTAGTGAAAATAATGGTTCCCTAAGACAGTGTCACTCCCACCCACACAGGAAGCTCCACCTCTCTTCAGGAAGGTGAGCACAAGTGGAGCCAGCTCCATTTGGGGCAGTGCCACAAAGGTTGACATCTAAAGACAGAGTTTCCTAACTCATCACACCACTCAAAAGCAAAAGAGTCTGTAGTTCTTCCAGCCAAACAGTGAAACTGGGCCCTTCAGTGCTTAGTTCCCTAGACTTTTGCTTAGCAGATACCACAAAAGGTTTATGGTTACTTCACCTCTATTTGGAGAATTCCTTAGCCCTCGTGTGTTCTTAATAGATTACACACTGTAACCTTAGGCTACTAACAGCGTAGTGCTCTTAAGATTGTGTGACCAATTCCATACAAACTGAATTCCTGGTCATACCTTTTATACCCTTAATGGCTAACCTTTGGTTATTTATATGTTGTATTGAAGGTTGACTGTTAAATTTAGTAACGTTGAAAGGACTTTGAAAATATGGCATTGCATAACAAAGTTTGTTATCCCCTCTGCTCTCCTACTATTATAATAAGGTTTCATGAAGTCTTCAAAACCCTAGCTGAAAGTGATGAAGGAAAATTACATGTTCTGAGAGTTATGTTTGAAGTCTGGAGAAACCACCCACAGGTAAAATCTACTTACTTAGACAAGTTGAGTTTCTGATTAGGCGTAGTTATTAATGTGGAGCAGTTAATTCCATTACTTTATGTATACAAACATAAACCCGATTCTGCTTATATATACAATGGTTTTTATTTTTTTTTTTTATTTTTATTTTTTTATTTTTTTACAGTTGTAGATTTACAATTTTTTTTGTGCTTGGGTTTCAATTATACAATGATCAGATACCCATCCCTCCACCAGTGCCCGTTTTTCACCACCATGGATAATATCCCTCCCACCCCCATCCCCCCATCCCCCCCTACCTCTGTGGCAGGACAATCCCCTGTGTTCTCTCTCTCCGTTTGGGTGTTGTGGTCTGCAAAAGAGGCATTGAGTGGCAAACATGTTCAGTCCATAGTCTACTTTCGACATGCATCTCCCCTCCTGGGAGGATCCTCCAAACATCCTTTATTTGGTGCTCCCTTCTCTATCTGAACTGCCCTTTCCTCTAGGATACCCGGCTGGCCTCTAAGTTATGGAGTAATCCTCCTGGTGCTGATCTCAGCTATTCTTGGGTATTAGTCTCATACTTTGTTACTTTATATCCCCCAGATGAATGCAATCTTTCTATGTCTATCCCTCTCTTTCTGACTCATTTCGCTTAGCATGATACTTTCCATATTATACCACTTGTATGTAAATTTCATGACTTCATCTTTTCTAACAGCTACATAGTACTCCATTGTGTAGATGTACCAAAGTTTCTTTAACCAGTCATCTGTTCTTGGGCATTCAGGTTTCTTCCAGTTTGTGGCTATTGTAAAGAGTGCTGCAATGAACAAACAAGTGCAGATGTCACTTCGACTATACATTTTTGCCTCTCTGGGATATATTCCCAGGAGTGGTATTGCTGGGTCAAATGGGAGCTCAATTTCTAATTTTTTGAGAATCGTCCATACTGTTGTCCAGAAGGGCTGAACCAGTGGACATTCCCACCAACAATGAAGGAGTGTCCCTTTTCTCGCCACATCCACGCCAGCATTGGTTGCTTTTGTTCTTTTGAATGTGGGCCAGTCTCTGAGGTGTGAGATGGTATCTCATTGTGGTTTTGATCTGCATCTCTCTGATGATTAATGATGTAGAGCATTTTCTCATGTGCTTTTTTGCCATTCGGATTTCTTCTTTGAGAAAGTTTCTGTTAATTTCATTGCCCCATTTTTGGATGGGATTGGATGTTTTCTTCTTGTGGAGTTTAACCAGTATTTTGTATATCCTGGATATCAACCCCTTGTCAGATGTGTATTTGGCGAATATCCTTTCCCATTCTGTAGACTGTCTTTGTATTTTGGTCACTGTTCCTTTGGAGGTGCAGAAGCTTCTTAGTTTAAGATAGTCCCATTTATCTATCTCTGTTTTCACTTGCTTGGCCAGTGGCGTGGCATCTTTGAAGATACCATTAGCTTCAATATCATGGAGAGTTTTGCCAACTTTATTTTCAATGTACCTTATGGTTTCTGGTCTGATGTTGAGGTCTTTAATCCATTTTGATCTTACTTTTGTACATGGTGTTAGGCAGAGTTCTGAGCCTATTTTTTTGCATGTAGCCGTCCAATGATGCCAACATAATTTATTAAAGAGGCTTTCCTTACTCCACTTCACATTACTTGCACCTTTATCAAAGATTAGATGATCATATGATTGAGGGGAGATGTCAGTGTATTCAACCCTGTTCCATTGGTCTGCAGTTCTGCCTTTGTTCCAGTACCATGCTGTTTTAATTATTACTGCTTTGTAGTACACTTTGAAGTTCGGGAGGTTGATTCCTCCCATTTTCTTTTTCCCAAGAATTGCTTTAGCTATTCGTGGGGGCTTATTGTTCCATATAAATTTCAAGAGTGTTTGCTCCATTTCTTTGAAGAATGTCATGGGTATCCTTATAGGGATTGCATTGAATTTATACAATGCTTTCGGTAGTATTGCCATTTTGACAATGTTAAGTCTCCCGACCCATGAGCAGGGGATATCTTTCCATTTCCTCATGTCCTCTTTTATTTCCTGAAGTAGCGTTTTGTAGTTTTCTTTGTACAGGTCCTTTACTTCCTTAGTTAAGCTGATTCCTAGGTACTTGATTTTCTGGGGCACAATTGTGAACGGGATTGTTTTTTTCATGTTGCTTTCTTCTCTCTCACTGTTTGCGTATAGGAAAGCCATGGACTTTTGGGTATTGATTTTATAACCTGCAACTTTACTATATGAGTCTATTGTTTCTAGGAGTTTTTTGGTGGAGGTTATTGGGTTCTCTAAGTAGAGTATCATATCATCTGCGAATAGTGAGAGCTTGATTTCTTCCTTTCCTACCTGAATGCCCTTAATATCTTTTTCTTGCCTAATCGCTATTGCAAGTACTTCCAGTACTATATTGAACAGAAGTGGAGAGAGTGGGCATCCCTGTCTCGTCCCTGATCTTAGAGGGAAGGCTCTCAGTTTTTCCCCATTGAGGATGATGCTTGCTGTAGGCTTGTGGTAGATGGCTTTAATTATGTTGAGGAAGGTCCCCTCTATACCCATTTTGGCTAGGGTTTTCATCATAAAGGGGTGCTGGATCTTGTCAAATGCTTTCTCTGCATCTATTGATATAATCATATGCTTTTTATCTTTTCTTTTGTTGATATGATGGATTATGTTGATTGATTTTCGAATGTTAAACCATCCTTGCATCCCTGGGATGAATCCTACTTGGTCATGGTGTATGATCTATACAATGGTTTTTAAACCTAATTTTTCCAGTGACATGGAAGTAATGATGTTCATTCCACAAAGAGCAAGTGTTCTGATTTGTGGAACATATCTGCATGTTTTAATACTTAGTATGTGTGCCTCTTGCGTGGATGATTGTATCAGTTTCCTAGTTCATCCAGTTTCTACAAACAGGCTCCAGATTTCTCAGATGTCAGTATATCATTTTCACATTAATGCTGTGTATTATAAAGAAGAATTAAAATAGATTTTATTTTGGAATATATTTAACTTTAAAAATGAAAAAACATTCTTAAATGTTTAAAATTTTATATTATAATGTTTTGTTTATATATTACCTAATATTAAGATTAAAGTGTTACCATTTAGTTTTCCTTTTCATTCACTCAGCCACAGTGCTGTATTCTTGTACTTACTATACTATTTCTGATAAGGGCAGAAGATAGAATAATAAGCTCTATACACTATGAAAACGAATGTCACAGCCCCTCCTATTTTGTCTTGTAGCAATGGAATTAGTAAGGCCTGTATATAAGTATGACTTACCCTAATAATATTTCATTGTAGATGATAGCTGTGCTTGTGGATAAGATGATACGTACACAAATTGTTGATTGTGCTGCGGTAGCAAATTGGATCTTCTCTTCAGAACTCTCTCGTGACTTTACCAGGTAAGATTATCTAAGATTTGGTTTTATGTAGAATTATCTGATCTGTGAACTCCAAATTCAGCCACATTCGGCCCCATATCAGAATAGTGCTGGCCCAGTGTGATAGTATCCACTTGGCAAAGGTTCCTGGAAATAAAGTCATGGCTACTTTAGGGGCACATGTAAGGATTTCGGACTCAACTGACAGATCAGAATGCTGCTGTGTCAGGGTGCAGACTCGGGAGAGACCATCAGGCTGTATTTCAAGACTCAGCAAGGCAGAATGGGATGTGGGGAAGAGTTCCAGCTCCATTGAGGACCTGGAGCTGTGCCCGGAACTGGGAGACAGCCATGTCTTAGATCAAGTATGCATCATGTTGGGAAAGGCCTGGTGAGAGCCCGCGTGCCTGCCTGGAGGGGCGGGAGCTCTCACTTCTGTCATAAAGACCTGCGCTGAGCTCAGATGTTTTATTTTCAGTCACTCCTCTCCTGAAGGAAAGAGTGCTGGGCATTGGCGCCATGCCCAAGGGTACGCGGGGGCTGAACCCCCCCTCCTGAAGATTGTGAGCTCTGACCTTTTGAGCCAGAGACTTGAAAACCCATCAAGGCCTTTCTCCTCTCCATTTTGCTCTTACCGATAGGAGATGGATCTGAAATAAACTGGCAAGAGGGTGTGCGTGAATATTACAGTATCAGCCAAACTGACATTCACAAGTGGGGACAGTAGAAAGGCATTCCTAGGTTCTCTAGTTCTCGGGAAACTGACCACGTACAAGTGTTTATTGTTATCCTGAATAATACAGAGTTGTAATAATACAACTCAAATCCTCTCTGGGGGGGGGGGGGGGGGGTGTAGATTTTACTATTTTCCATGCTCCGAACGTGAGCATGCTTAAAAAGCTCACACAGAGGCTTACAACTAAGTGCAGTGCCAACATCAGCATTATTGAATTGATAGTTGCCCTGGGGTGCTCTGGCTTGAAGTATTCCAAACTCTGCAAGGCATTTCCTCTCCCTCTTCCCCGTTCGGTTTGGCCCTGGGCATTCAGGGTCCCTGGTGGAATAGGAATCCAGCTCTGCTGATGTTACAGAAATCATGCTGGACATGTGGTCTGTCACTTGAGCTGTCTCCTCCACTCTAGTCTGGTCTCTTCTTCCTGTCTGCAAATGTCCTTGGCAGTTTTTGAGCAAATTGTTTTATCATTGTTCAACTGTTGTTGTCCCAGTCAAATTTGCAGAAAGTACACATTTGTGCACATCCTGAGATTAGGAGATCTAGATTATAGGCAGAAAAGTAGTTAAGAAGCTCTTTTGAAAATACGAACTACCTGAGCGACTTCTTTTTTTGAGGGGAAGGTTCTCCCAAACAGTATTCAAGGGGCCTCTGGGCAGGGGTGCTCCAGTGCTGCTACCTGAGGGCTTTGCCAGCAGTCATGCTGGGCCTCACACCTAAGGCCTCTTCAGACCAAGTGTCTGAATTCTCTACTGGCCACCTTGTACATATCTGCTGGTCCCCTTTCTCCCCCACTCCAGTGCTGTCGGGTCAAGCCCATGGGTTTCCATGCATGCAAGCATACACTTTACCATTGAGACACATCCCCAGCCCTTAAGTAACATTTTAAAGCTATATACAAGACAGTTTTGGTTCTTTGAGGTAGCTGGTTTCTAAAAAATTTGTATATTTTGTTTATGGATTTTGGGGGGATCTTTTTTTGGGGGGCATACCTGGTGGGGTTAAGGGAGTTGAGGGGCTCAGGAGTATTCCCGGCTTGTACCATGCCGTACCAGGGATCCAATCCAGGTCTCAGAAATGCAAGGCAAGTGCTAACCACTGAGCCACATCTCAGCTCCTTGGCTCATTTATACGTAACTAATTTTTCTGTACATTTTTGTGGGGAGAGGAGGCCTCTGACAACGAGGTCAGTGATGTAGTGCGAGGTCCCAAAGACCACTCGGGACCCGCAGTGTTTCCAGGGCCAGCCACATGCCGGGCGTGTGCTTCAACCCTGTTCTTGCTCTCTGGTCCCTTACCTCATTTGTGAATCTTCACATTAAGAGCATTATCAGCTAATGAGTTAAATGTTCCTAGATAATTGGCTGATTGTAATCCATGCAAAACGAGCCTCACATTTCAAGAAAAAATGCTGTTAAGAGGAGAGAGGTATATTTGTTCAAGATGGACTTTTTTTTTTCTGGTCTGCTGTTTCAGTGGATTTATAATTACTTTCTCTATGTCTTGAAGAGTATGTAAATGAGAAAACTGACAGGGGCAAGCCTGGAACCTAGAGGCTTGTAGAAGTTACAGTAGAAGAAAAGGTATATGTTGCTGGAGCATGGTGATTAATTGTGTCCACGGTGTGGAAGGCTTTCTCAGGTCTGTGATATAGTTCAGTGGTATTGTGCCTGCTTTGTATATCTGAGGTCCTTGATTCCCTGGTACCAAATTTGTAATGTGTAGGTTATAAAAGTGGAGGTCTTGTTTTCTACAACATAGCTTAACATACAGTAACAAAATATATAGTAAGCAAATGCTGTATTATTACTTTAAGGCTGTTTGTTTGGGAAATCTTGCACTCCACCATTCGTAAGATGAACAAGCATGTTCTGAAGATCCAGAAGGAGTTAGAGGAAGCTAAAGAAAAGCTTGCAAGACAGCACAAACGGGTAAGTCTTGAGTCAGTCTTTTATTGAGGAGGAACCAACCTTTTCTTTTCTTGTTGGTTGTCTTTTGGGTTTGGGGCCTCAGCAGCTCTGCTCAGTACTTTCTCTTGGCTCTACACTCAGGGGATCGAATCAAACCCTGGTAGGCTGCATGGAAGGCAAACACCCTGCCCGCTGTACTATCACTCCAGCCCCCCATTGTATTTTACTTCGGGGTCACATCTTTCCCCGTGCCAAGGGGCTCACAGGAACCTAATCTTGGATCCCCCCCAAACAGTGGTTCTGTTGTCACTAATCCAGTGTTTGCAGCAACCGTCCTAGACAGTGAGACACCACTCTGATGAGTAACAAGTATTGACTGTATATTTCCCCTGAGTTTAAACTCTTTTCATTTGAAAAGGAAGGCTGTGCCCCTCGTTTCCTCCCACTGTCCTGGAGGGGAATAAGTTTCTGATCGAGTGCAGCATATCTGTGCCTTTGCTCCTGATTCAGGCCTCACAACATCTCCATGGCCTAGAGAAGGACTGGGGGGAGGGGGGGATCGGAGTGCGCAGAGAACTTAACTGTCACAGGTGATCAGGTACAGTCACACCCTGCCCCTTGCCTCGGGGGATATAGTACGCTGGAATTCTGGGCGGGATTTTAATTTGTTCCTTTGCATTCTGTAGCGAAGTGATGATGACGACAGAGGCAGTGACAGGAAAGATGGGGCTCTTGAGGAACAAATAGAAAGACTGCAAGAAAAAGTGGAATCGGCCCAGAGTGAACAGAAGAACCTCTTCCTTGTTATATTTCAGGTACATATTTTCACTTGGGACATTGGAATGTAGCACGGTAGCACGATCCTCCCGTTGTTCATCGATTGGAATGTAAAAGAAAAAAATATGTATTTCTCTAGTTTTGAAAAATGTTTTTATTCCCTAATGTCAATTTATAGAAGAGTTTGAAAATATAAAAGTTTACAAAGGAAATAAAAATTCATCAGTAGAGGGTTGGAGAGGTAGTACAGTGGTCACAGTGCTTACCTTGCATGCGGCCAACCCAGATTTGATCCCCAGCATCTGTATGGTCTCCCAAACCCCGCCAGGAGTGATCCCTAAGCACAGTCTGAGGTGTGACCCAAAGAGAAGATTATTCACCTCCATTAGCACATACACCTCCTAACTGTGCTGCGCACCCAGCATTCTTGTTTGAGCGTCTCTCTGCATAAAACATAAGAGAGTGCCTTGTTAACGACTTCTCATCTCTATATTCTTGGCGGTTTTCTCTCCTGATGAAACAGTTTTACATAAATTCCTGGTAATGTTGCTGATTCTGTCCTCAGATGCTAAGAAGGAAAATTACTAGCATAAATACCACAGGGGTAGTCCGTAAGCTCTCTTAGACATGAGCGGGAAGTGTAAGAGCCCTTCTAATCCTCTAATTTCCTCCTCGCTTCCAGCGTTTCATCATGATCCTCACCGAGCACCTGGTCCGCTGTGAGACCGATGGTACCAGTGTCCTGACTCCCTGGTATAAGAACTGCATAGAGAGGCTCCAGCAGATATTCTTGCAGGTTTGTGGGGGAATCCGGGGGCGATGGACTGCTCTGTTCTCAGCACAGAGATTTCCCATCTTAAGAACATCAAATTTGGGCTAGGAGAGATTATACTGGGATTCAGTTGCATTTGGCCATCCCTGGCCTGATCACCCTGCCACACACGATCCTCAAGCATTGCTGGTGCAACCTGAGAGGTCCCCTTAATGCCAGGATGGCTTGGGGGTCCCCGGCACCACATCTTGGGCTCTCAAATTGAGTTACTGGCCTAGTCGGTTCAGAAGTGCCAGGAGGTACGTCCTCCCCCAAAAAATCATCAAAGTTTGTCAATTTATATAGCTCCTATGGGCCCTTAAACTCAACATTTGCTTTTACTGTTACTTACCAAAATATCTTTTTTTTTTTTAACATGATGTTACCACAAAGCTTTAATATAAATTAGCTTTTGTGATGCTTAGAATGTTGGGTTTTCTGTGAACTGAAGAGCAGTGGTTAGAAAAAGAAAAGGATAAACGGGCTGGAGAGATAGCACAGCGGGTAGGGCATTTGCCTTGCACGTGGCCAACCCGGGTTCGATTCCCAGCATCCCATATGGTCCCCTGTGTGACCCAAAAAGGAAAAAAAAAAGATAAACAGTGCTGGGAGAGGGCTGGAGGTGTAGCTCAGTGATGGGCACTTGCCACCTTGCATGTGTGAAGATGTGGGTTTGGGTCCTGTAACTTTACTTCATCCCAAATAAAAACATCTAGAAAGATAATGCCGTGGTGATAAGGGCTATGTCAGATGGCTAAACAAGTGATCACCCACCTTAAATATCAAATAATTTACCAGGGCAGATACCAGAGCATTTGTGGTGAGATCTGTGGGGAGGGGCTGTGTGAGGAACATGGATGACAATGCCAAGTTTACTTTTTTTTTATGAAGGAGTACTGCTATTTATTCAGCCACTGATTAGCTGATTAAATTGTGCATAAACTCTACCTTACTTTTTTTTTCATTTTTTATAATTTTATTTATTGAATTACCGTGAGAGCAGTTACAAAGCTTTTGGGTCTAAGTCTCGGTCATACAATGAAACACCCGTACCTTCACCAGTGCCCATTCTCCACCACCAAAAACCCTGGTATACTCCCATCCCACACCCTCCCCCCACTTGTGGGGCAGATGATTTCTACATTACTCTCTCTCTACTTTGATCACATTCAATATTTTGACACCAGACCCACCATTATTATTTGGGATTTTACCCCAACTCTCAGATCTGCTGAAAAGGCAACAGTAGACAATTTGTGTTCTATTGCTGGTTATGAATAACATGTGATGTCGCATGGCTCCAGTAGGGCCATGTGATTTTGAAATTCCAAAATTTTAACACTTAAATCTGGAGAAAGTTCTGCCAAAAGCCACTGGGTTTAGAGATCTGCTCCTGAGTCTCTGGGATCATGGCCATTGAGCAGCTTGATCAGGAGCCAGAGAGGCCGTTTGTGGGTGATGACTTGGGGTTTCCTTGGGGTGGGGTGGGGTGGGGAGGACAGGCCCCCGCCCCCCCCCCATCCCGTGAGGCCCAACAAGTTTCGTCACTGAGGGCCCAAGCCTGACTGTTCAATGGCCTCTGGAGGATGACGGCCACCGAGTCGCCAAGGGGGAGCAGGCGGAGTGACAACACCCTTTCCTCCTTGGGGTGGCCTGGCAACAGTAACCTACTGTGGGGTCCAGACACATTTCTGCCCAAAGCGCTTACCAAAATATCTTAAATTGATTATTACTCAGATTTCCATTTGGCCTTTCTCTCAGCTAGAAAACCTCAGTCAAAGTGTTTTGATTTTGAGGGCCACATCGGCCTTACTTGGAGATCCATATTCAGTGCTGGGGATCAAACCTAGGTTGGCCACATACACGTAAGGCTATGAACTTACCCACTGGACCCTTATCATCAGCTAAAAAAGCATCAGCAACCCTTGTTCCTACAGGAACTCCCAAGTATGTTCAGGGGACATGAGAGGACATAGAGTATTTCATTTTCGGTACCCCTCTCTCTCTTTCTCTCTCTCTCTCTCATTCTCTCCCCCCCCCCTTCTCTCCTCTCCTCTCTCCCCCACACTCTTATCTCCTCTACTTTTCTCTGTCCCTTCTCTCCTCTCTCTCTCTCTGACACACAGTGAGGGCTGGAGAGCTCAGGGGCTGAGCATAGGCTTTTGACATGCCTGTGATGCGGGCCAGCAGAGTCCCCCAGGTACCAGCATGTGGGCCCCCAGCCCCAGTGACAGAAATCAGGAAACGCGGCGTGGGGTTCTTTGGGGTCCATTTAAGTTATGCTGCGCTCTGTCCTGACACGAGAGATCCCTAGCTGACCCCATCTAACCGGTGGTGGCTGCAGGAGCTGCTGCTTCCACATACACAGAAGCGTGTCAGAGACCTACTGGGGGGAGGGGGCAGGCCCTTGTCCAGACTCAGGGCCCCTCACGCACAGCCTCTGCTTGTAGCACTGAGCTGCATCCCCACCTGCTCAGCTCTGGGATTTCAAAGTTTCTGAGCCGCCTTGGAGTCGGTGACGTGGGTGTGCTGCCGAGGGGCATTTCCGGGGGCCTGCAGGTGCCCTGCCCAGCCCTGACTCTTGCTTTCCTCTGTCACAGCATCACCAGATAATCCAGCAGTACATGGTGACCCTGGAGAACCTGCTCTTCACTGCCGAGTTGGACCCGCACATCCTCGCCGTGTTCCAGCAGTTCTGTGCCCTGCAGGCCTAGGGGCCAGTGACCCCTCCTGTTAACATTTTTTTCAATCTTAAAATTTGTCTTATTTTTGATGGTTTGAATGCTTGCTTTCTTGTAGTATCCTTTCACTTCTTTAAAGCAAAGGGGGTAGGGACGGCGACAGTGAAGAATACGGCTCTTGTTACCGTCCCTACAGGCAGGTGTTCCCTAATGACAGCAATGTGACCGTGACCATAGGATGATATATGTGACAGGTACAACTTTTCTGATACTTTCTTTTTTTTAAGGCACCGTTGATAACTGAGGTATGGGTGACACGAGAGGTCGAGCTTACAAAGTAGTGTAGAGTTGATGGATTTACCGTCGAGTAGCAGAGCTTGTCACTGCTCCTAGATAACCTACCGTGGCTGAAATAAAATGAAAAATTGGTTTTTAAAACGTTGGTATTTCATGATTTATCATCTCAGTCTACTTTAAAAGGAGTGGTTTCTTACTGAAGGTATGCTTATTCTCTTTATTTTTCTGAAGTGTAGTATTTTAACACAGAGAAGTGTTACTAGAGTAACAGTTCCCAGGTTTGTCCAAGCAGGTCCCCTGGGTGTCTGTGACTATTTTTCATAAATAAGCCTCCCTCTGGCCACACACACAGAGAGACTGAGGTCCAGTGATGCACTGTGCGGTGGCTCCCTTAGCTACTGGGCCCTGCTCCAGGCTCTGCATGGAGTCGTCCTAGGTCACCAAGTGAGGGACGCCCTCAAGTGGGACTAGATGCCATTGGGTTTGCTGATGCAGGTCTGGGTTGTTTCTGGGGAACCTGGTACAAGTAACCACTAATTCCGAAGCCTTTTTCCTATGAGGTGCTGAGGCTTAACTGAAACAAGAATGCACCGTGAAGTAATATATAAGCAGAAGGAATCATCTGACATTCCAGATCTCTAGCACTTTTAGTCTTTTTCATTAACCTTGGATAAAAATTACAAATAACCCCACAACTGGTAGTCTTTTTGTATATTTGTACCAATTTGTACCACAGGAATTCTCTCTCTCTCTCTTTCTCTCTCCCTCCCTCCCTCCTAAGTTGATGATGCTTTAAACATTGTTCATATTGATACATGGTTTTTTACATTTGGCAGCTGTAGGATAGTCTCAGTTGATGGGAATTCCTAGGATTTTTAAATTCTGTAAGATTAGGTCCATAGCAAGATCCTGGCAGAAGGGACCAAAGCCTCAATCGTGGTAAAACGTCGTCTGTTTACACTGTTCCTCTTCATCCCTGTGTAATTAGTTAGAAATGCCTCATGGTCCTCCAGAGCCAGGGGATCACCATGTAAGGCCTTCTTAACTCTCGGACCATGAACTGCTCTGTAATCCTTTCAGAATATATTGCAGAGTCCACTTAGTATATTTGCTTGATCCAAATTCTAGAGGAATTTCTGCTAGGTGTTCGTTCCTTTCTCTCAGATTCTCTCTGTGTGTAATTGTTCTTCTCTATCAGTGTACCTAGCCCTACTCTGTTCCAGGCTGCTGGCAGGAGGGGTGAGGGGTGGGGGAAATGGGTTGCATTCTAGAGAAATAAAAGATGCTAGGGTCAAGATTCAGCAGTTACTTTCCCCAATAATGGAGATAACAGACAGAAGGATGGGATGTCATGTACGCTCTTGGAATAAATTAATAAATATTCTGTTAAATTGCACTGGTGCCATTTAACATGCTTTTGTGAAAGTGAACATAATTTTGCTCTCCTTGATTCTAAGTTTTTCCCCCAGGGTTATTCAGATAGCAGTTCATACAAAGATAGATTGTGTCTACTCGTCCTGGGAAGGATTAGTAATTATATTACATATAACTTACTCTTGCAATTCTTTTTTTCTTGCAATCTACGAGAGTATTCGATATGCCAGACACAGTAACAACAAAGTCTCCAATGGAGACGTTACTGGGCCCGCTCGAGCAAATCGACGATCAACGGGAGGGCCTTTTCTTTTTAAAAAGTGAAAGATGAAAAAAGAACTTGCTAACCAGCATAGAGCAGATTTGGCATTGAGTGATTCTGGATACAGGTCGGCTTAAATTGATGAAGGTCAAGAATAGATTCTTACCAAAGACAGACCTAAAGTATCGGGTCTTGAGACTGTATGCTCACTAGTAAACATTGGTGCCAGGTGCTGGGCGGGGACCACTCGACACAATACTCAGCCCTCACAGCATCTTCTGATTGAAAAACGAAACAGCAAGCCTGGGATGTAACGTACCCGAGGTCCACAGCTAGTATGCAGGTCCTGCATCTCTCAAACACTGATCATCAAGGCTCTGTGGGCAGTGTGAGCCTGAGTCACCACTGTCCTTCCCAGGAAGGTTCTGGCTGCCAATGGTCTTGACTGAGGTATGACACTCAGCAGAGCACGTTTTATAAGAAACCAGCACTTGGTAAAGATGTTCAACACTGCCACATCAAAACTTATCTAGAGAACAGTTAACTATAGACTACTTGGGTTTGAGAATGTTTTAGCTTTTACCCTCAAAAGGAATAAATAGCCAACAGCTATGTGGAAAGAAAAACACGAATATAGAATCAAGCTATTTGCCCATTTTTGGCAGCAGGAGTTGTAGGGTGTGCCTGGGGAGAGCTGCTGAGCTGTGCTGTGAGCCATCGCTGGATGCAACAGTCGGGCACATCTGGAAATGGCTGCCAGGTGCACCTCCTGGCGAGCACGGCTTCAGGAGTGTGACTCTCATGAACATACCTAGGGATGGGTGAGCAGGCAGCACAGCCAGGTGTGTAAGTGCTGGCAAGCACCACAATCATGGACATGAGCCCCACAGTGATGGGGTTGACAGGCCGGAGAGGGGAGACATGCCAAAGAACAGCCTGACAATATCCCATTTGTTTACCTGTTTCCAGAGTAGTTCTGACTGGACCCCATGTAATCAGGCGTATGGGGCAGATCCTATTACTCACTGGAACTGCTTTAGAAGGGGGTTGTCAGGAGACGTGAATGATCCCGGTGCCTGGGGCAGTGTGACGAGAGGTTATCAGGTAGGTCAGCTCTATTTTTACAAGGGCTCTCAAGGCCCAAAGCAAGATATATCTTCCTGCAGAATAAGCTTTCACGAGAATCTCCCTAACGGTCCTTAGCACAATCCTGGTCTGGCACACGGTAAAAGTGAGCACCTTTAGCACCATCTTCCCTTTCTGTCTGGATTTGAAAAAAGCTCTGTAGGTATTCTCCTTAGGGTGTGTAGTAGGAGTGACACCATCAAACTCACAAAACTCATTGCTCTGCCTTTATATTTAGTCAGCTTTCCAGCAATAGCTCTCTGCTTTCTGCTGGGTTGGGAGAAAGAGTCTGGAATCCTGGCTGAGCTGTGGAAGTGTCAAAAGGTTGAAGGCCACTGACTTCAAGACCTGACCCGGGGAACAGAGAGATGGCTCCAAGAAATGTGCGTGCTTTCTGTGCTGGATGCCTCAGCTTGGCCCCTAAGCACTACAGCTGTGACCCCTTCGCTCCCCACAAAAAGAAAACAAGACGTGAGCCAGCTCCAGAAGGTCCTGCTCTCTCCCCATTCATTTTCTAAAAAATCACTTTACTTTTCAGGCTAAGTCTCTTCCTCAATCACATCTCCGTTTTAGCTCTAACTTACGGTCACCTTTGAAACCACCCTACCATGCTGCTCCCGTTCCTGTCCCTGACATAAAATGACCATAGACCCAGTTCTCCCCACAGACAGGTCTGCGGGACCTTACTTGCCCCAAAGCCATTCCTATCACAAACATACGACTGTTCCCACTCATCTCTGAAGACTTCCTTTGGGTGAATTTTGAACCAGACTAATCTCCGTGTCCTTTATTTCATTTTATTTCATTTGTTTAAAAAAGCTTTTAAAACCACCATTTGGTTTGGTTAAGGGTCACATTTTCTCGTACGTCAGTTCATGGCCACAAACAGTACAAGTCTTCCGGTACATGTCGTCATCTAGGGACTCTTCTGCGCCGTACTCGTGCTGGTGGGCGACGCTCTCCCTCTTCCACACGCTGCTCCTTACTGCTCGCCGTAACTCTGAGAAAGAAGTCAAGCTTTAGCTGAACCCAGAACTCCACTTTCAGAAGGAGGGGTGTGTGTGTGTACCAACAAAGTGGATTACTTCACGTAGATTCTTTTATTACACCAACTGGGAATGCTTCCTCTTTTACTTCCCACGCCTGGCCTGTAAAATCACTGCGGTCCTTTTGCGAGCAGGAGGAAACAGACTCGGGATGGGCTATGTGGTCTTAAGGGATGGTAGGAGAGAAACGCATTCAAAAGACAGACGGGTAAGCAGAGGGTTACTGCAAGCAGAGTCACGACAGGAATAGGGCTCTGCTGAGGTGAGCCGAGACAAGAACTTCAGGCCTAAGTCACCTCTAACCTAGATGCTGCTAGGTTGGGCCAGATTTTTAAACATGGGGACACCAACTTCTGAAAAAGTGTGTTTGAAAAATTTATGATCTGTATTACATATTTGGGCTGGAGCAATAGCACAGCGGGGAGGGCGTTTGCCTTGCACGCAGCCGACCCGGGTTCCATTCCTCTGCCCCTGTGGAGAGCCCGGCAAGCTACCAAGAGTATCTCGCCCACACGGCAAAGCCTGGCAAGCTACCCGTGATGTATTCGATATGCCAAACACAGTAACAAGAAGTCTAACAGTGAAGATGTTACTGGGCCCGCTCGAGCAAATCCATGAACAACAGGAGAACAGTACTACAGTGCAGTGCTATTACATATTTGATTTGTACACTTTATATACAGGGCTGCACAAAAATACCTCTGGGGAAAAGAGGGGGGATAAGTAGAGACAGATGAAAGTAGTGTTGACCTGTAGGGTGTGAGTTAAGGTGGGAAAGGAAGGCGGGAATCCAGGACCTTTGGCACTGCGCTGACACCACATCAGAGAAAGCTTCTGCCGAGCCTTGTCTGTTCCTGACCAAATGAGACCAGTACTGCAGTGTGCTGGCAGTTACCACAGAGACAGCCTCAAGGCAAGAATCGTACAAGAATCGTAAGAACTAGTAATCACACACTGGAAAGAACCAGACTTTCTGGTTTTGCTTTTGTTTTATTACTTCATCATATTCTGTAGAAAAAAAGCAAAAGATATCAACCCAGATCACCTTAGTACAATGTTTCAAACTTTTTTCTCTATGTTGGAATTTCATTTTACAAAGGAAAGAATGACACGGCATACTCTCATACTGAGATGATCAAATTAGTGGTTACCAGCAGGACTTCCCCACCCCTTTGGAAGGGAAGTGGGAAAAGGGTTAGTTATGTAAGGAAAAATAAAGAAGGATAGAAGGAGACTTTTATTGGTGAACTCACTATGTAGTACACACCGATTTATGATTTACACCTGAAACCTTTATAGTGTTATAAAAGTTACTTCGATTTAAAACATAATGAATTGGTGCCCAATCTTTAATCTTCCCATTTTCTTATATAAAAATTCTTACATATAAAAAAATCCTTAGATGAATCACATTTTTATATTCTAAGACAAGAAGCACAGGCAGTTTAGAGTCTCAAAAGCCAACTTGTATAGAAACTGATTTCTTTCCTCAATCCATGAAAACCTACGTTCCAGCCTCCGTGAACACTGTGTCTTTACGCAGGAAGAAAGTGCTCAGCCACAGCGTCTCTGCAGATCAGTGAACAGTCTCATGACCCATGACCTTACCTTTAACTTTTTTATCAAATTTCTTTTGTTTCATTTTTTCTCGGTTTTCCTGTCGCGCTTCCTTCGCTTCTTCTAATGCTTCCTGACTTCCCCAAACTTCAAGAGATCTTTTCACAATCTACAATTAGAAAACCATTTTTTAAACCAGTCGCCATTCAGAACTGTTTAGATACAATCAGTAAATCGAAAGGCGGATATAACCCAAGTACTGATATCTGTTCAAATTTTTTTTTCTTTTTGGGTCACACCCAGAGATGCTCAGGGCTTACTCCTGGCTCTGCACTCAGAAATTACTCCTGGTGGTGCTCAGGGGACTATATGGGACGCTGGGAATCGAACCCAGGTCAGCCGCATGCAAGGGAGACACTGTGCTATTGTGCCAGGCCCTGAAATTTTTTTTTTAAAATCTAAATAATAAACTATTGTGATGAGAAACAATTGTCAAACCTGGTTAGGAAGTCAAGCAGCCCTAAGTATATGTTGAATTATAAATAGAAAAAAAAATTGTCCCTTGTGTATGTTTTCAACAAAACTTGGGCCCGCTCGAGCAAATCGACGATCAACGGGAGGGCCTTTACCTTTACCTTTGGTAGTCAGTGGGTTTGATAGTATTTTAGCAGTTTCATGCCAGAGATAAGCTTGCTGACCAACTACCTATCCTATCTAAATGACGGGCTCATCCGTAAGATCCTTCTAGCACTGGAGCTCCATCACTACAACGTACTACCTCTGGAAACTACAACTTACTACCTCTGGAAACTACAACTTACTACCTCTGGAATCTTTAACAGTTTTCACTGGACTCACTTCTGATCTCAACTTATAAAGTTTATCTTAAACTTTGGTAGATGATTGACCTTAGAAGTCTTCTATTTGAGTTTAAAACCTTTAGATTATGGCGCTGGAGCCACAGTTCAGCGAAGAGGGCACTTGCCTTGCATGTGGCTGACCCAGATTCGATCTCTGGCACCCCATATGGTTCCCTGAGCCCCACCAGGAGTGATCCCTGAGCACAGAGCCAGTAGTAAGCCCTGAGCACTGCTGGGTGTGACCCAAAAACCAAACAGGAAAAATGAGGTAAAAATTCAAACTTTAATTACTTTTAATATATTCCTTTACCTTGAGGAGGAAAAAATGCCAGCATAGCCAAACTCATTTCATTTTACATACATGCTTTGTACACACATTTTTTTAACATAAAGTGATATGCTGGGTTCTCTCATAAACTATCACATTTCCACAGCTTGACATCCTGAAAATACTGTGTCCCCAATGTGCTTAGCAGTATTTTTAACACCTCAAACAAAAACTAGTTCAGAAGAACTGGGTTGTTAACGCAGAGAAGGTTAGAAAAATCTTACTAAATCAGTTGCACTGAAATTTTCCTTTCCTGCATGCCAGCATGATGTAAAATTAGAGTGTGTCTAATGGTACTATTTCAATAAGTATAAAACAAAAGCGCCCAGTAAAAAGTTTATTGGGCCAGTTTCTAAAACTTTTACTGGGGTCAGGGTGGATACACCTGGCAGTGCTCAGGGCTTACTCCTGGCTCTGTGCTCTGGAATCACTCCTGGTGGGGTGGGTACCATACTCAGTGCCAGGGATCACAAAAAGGTCAGCCTCATTCACGATAAGAGCCTTAACACCTGGACTTTCTCTCTAGCACTGGGTTGATTTACTTAACATCATTTTTATTTTTATTTTTTATTTTTTTGGTAGGTTTTTTTGGGGGGCCATAGCAGGCAGTGCTCACTGCTTACTCCTGGCTTGGGGAGACTATATGGGACGCTGGGGATCAAACCCAGGTCAGCCTCTTGCAAGGCAAATGCCCTACCCACTATAATATCACTCCAGCCCTGCATTTTTCATTTTAATGGTAGCTAAAATATGGTGAATCTTCTAAATACCACAATTAAACACAATTAAGTATCAAATTTGTTTTACCCATGACTTAAATTTTATTTGAATATACAAATTTTATAGTATTTTATACTTCAATCTAAACTTTGCTTCCCAATATATTTTATAAAATGACAGCATATCTATATTAGATATACGTAAAGTGTGTAAGAATATACATTTATACGTTCTATCTGTGTCATCCCAGGCTGGATACAGAAGGCTGCTTGTAACTCAAGACGCCTGGCAGGAGCACCCAGCACTAAGTAAAAGAATCGTCTTGGCACGTACCCTGCGAAATCGTCTGCAGCGAGAGTTGAGAAAATTCACTTAGACAATATTAGAACAAAGGTTGCCAGACTTCTTTGGCTTACCTCCCCCTTTTTATGAAAACAAACAAAACTCATCTACATTCTTTAAGGGAAGAACAGAAACCTCGTACCTCCCCTCCCCAGCCAACTCCCCTCCCCCGGCAGTATCTGAACCCCACCTCCTAAGGCCCAGAGCCCGGTGGTTGGGTCCAGCGCCCCAGAGGCCATGGGTGGCACCAACCATTCGGGAAACACTGTACTAGTTACATGTGGGTATCTGAGACGCATTTCCCAAATTAAACTTACATTTTAGATTCTTGTGATTAAAATAATACTTTTCCATTTGTTTGAGGCAACATGCTCAGCAGTGCTCTGGGCTTACTCCTGGCACTGTGCTCAGGATCACTCCTGGAGGGGTTCTGGGGAGCCTACTGGACAACGGGGACTGAACTCAGGTCAGCTGGGTACCGGTCAAGCACCCTACCAGCCCTATTAAGGCTCCAGTCCATAATAAACATATATTTTGGAGGGGTGTGTGTGCATGGATGGTGTGGTGAAGTCTTATTCCAAAACTTAATTTCTGAATTTTATTCCAAAAGTTAAGTTACCCAACCACCAAAATTACACGCCAAAAAAAGCAAAGCAAGAAAATACGTCATTAAACATGATTATAACTCAGAGCAAAATAACAAAGGGGGTCTTCTCTATAAGCCAAAACTGATATATAATGAGTTCACTCTAGGGCTGGAGCAACAGTACAGTGGGAAAGGCATCTGCCTTGCAGAGAGTCAACCTGGATTCGATCCCTGGCATCCCATATGGTTCCCTGAGGACTGCCAGGCGTAATTCCTGAGTGCAGAGCCAGGAGTAATCCCTGAGCATCACAGGGTGAGACCCAAAAAGAAAGAAAAAAAAAGTTCACTTTAAAATATTTAGACAGTGTTTAAACAGGATTTAAAAATAAACTTATTAGAGACCTGTAATTTTAAGTAGAGTTTCATATCACCCCATTGTGAGTGATGAGGATTCTTCTTCACAATAAATTTAAGAACTGGTTCTCTTTTCTCTAAATCACAGTCTTTTAGGAGGTATTCCTGCTTTGCCTCTGTTTTGGTTATCAGCCTGTGTTTATCTTCAGCATCTCTGAAAAGAGATTAAATCCATCCCATAAGTGAGTTCTTTTTAATGAAATTTTCAAATAGCCCAACAACAATAGCATGGCATGCACTATCAAAAGGAAAATATAAAATGCCTTTTCCTGCAGTTCTCGTGGACAACATAAAAGCAGGGGAAAAAATCCTTTCTTTTACTCATTCTGAAAAACTGTATTTGTAGCAAATCCATGTCATTTAACCTAAGAATATTTCATCCCATCTTCATTGCATTATTTACCAGAGCCAACATATGGGGGGAAAAAATCAGGAGTCCATTGAAAAGATAAATAAAACGTGGTCTAGATCTATAAAATAACTTAGGTGTCCATGAATGGATGAAGGGATCAGGCAAATGTGTTCTACTATGGAATATTATTCAGTGACAGAAAAAAAAAAAAATCTTGCCGTCCGCAACAACATGGATGGATCTTAAGAACCTATGTTAGGTGAAATAAGAGAGAAAGAAAGACAAATACCACATGCCCTCAGTTTTATGTGGCACACAGAAGCAGAAGCAAGCTCACAGGGAAAGAAACCAGACCAATGGGAGGGCTAGGGAGAGGACAGCAAGGGGTGAGACATGAGTGACAGCTGCGAGGTGGAAGGTTCCCGTGACAGGGCTGGAGAGACGGCACCCTGGGCAGGAGCACTCGCTGTGAACTTTGGAGACCCCCGCCACCCCCACCTACTGCCACCCAAACACCACCAGGAGTGACACCTCACACAGAGGAGGTGCAGCCCAACCCCCCCCCCAAATATATATAATTTAAATTTTTTTAAATGAATAAAATTTCACCACAGAGATGCCCTGTGCAGCAGGGGGACCACTGACTTCCCCGCTCGCTTGCATGGTCAATACCGTCCCCCTACGGGTTTGGGGCACATTCTACAGTAAAGGGCTTAGAAACGAATGCTCGCCTCAGCTGAGGCGGTGCTGGGTTCATTCCTCTCAGCGTGCATGTGATATGCTGGTGGCGGGAGAAGTTTGATTCTGTACCTGTAGGGTAATTCAGGTGGTAACTGCCGAGTCTGGCTTACAAGATTTAACACTGCCTGAAGTGGAACTTCCATAAGGTGGAGGAATGCTGTACATATGTCGTTTCCAAATCTGCTTGTGTACATTTGGATACCCCACGTCACAGGTTTGTTAGGGTTGTACTTAATAAAACCTATTTTGCCTTTAGTATTACTGAGGGCAGGGAGTGGAGGGGTCACACCTGGCAGTGCTCAAGGCTTACTCCTGGCTCCGCATTTAAGGATCACTCCTGGTGGCACTTGGGAGACCATATGCAGTGTCACAGGTAAAACCTGGGTCTGTCACATGTAAGGCAAGTGCCCTACCTGTGGTACTCTCTCTCTGGCCACACCTTTAATTTTTACTATAGATGCATCAATGCATGTATTTTTTCCAGGAATAAAATAATCTGAAAATTTTGTATTTCTACATTCCAAAAAATTACTGTCATGTTGAATAAGAGTTCTGATGTCTTTACCCAGGGCACTGGGTACTTTTAAATGCAGCATCAGAATACGTGGTTAAACCTTTCTCTTGTGACTACACTACGGGGGGTGGGGGGAGAATTTTACTGTTGTGCTTCGTCACCCAGTATTCTTGTTCACATGGCAGAGCTTGTGCCCACATTCATGATAACTCAGAAGAAAGCTCAGAATCCATCCTTTCCTACATGGTGTCAGGATTGCCAAATAGAATGATTAGTTATCTGTGCTGATCTTAGAGCATGTCTTGCATGGTTGTTTCTTCTAAAATAACTAGAAATAATGCAATAGTTTGACAATATTTGTAGGAACTTATGATCCAATGACTCTTAGTCATACACTGAATCTTTCTTCCCAGAATCTCTACATTTTTTGGTAACTATCACTCCATTCATCTACAACTTCTGATGAATCTTTCACGTTTGCCTTCAATTGTCTCTCTTGTTTTTTTTTGACTAGAAGGTATAGAACCATAATCACTTACAATGTCTTTAGATGACATAATATTTAAGTTATCTCTCAATACTTCAAAATCAAATATGTCTTCACTGTCAACTCAGCTCTAAATTGTCATAATATTCTTCTTTCTCCATGTTTCTATCAAAAAAAAATCAAAAGATTACTTAATCTCAAAATTACAGAAGTGGCATGTTTTTAAGATTATTGGGGGGTTTTTTTGGCAGGAAGAAGGAAGTTGGGTCACACCTGGTGGTGCTCAGGAGACCACACCTGGAACCAGGGATCAACGAGGGTTAGCAGGGTACAAGGCAAAGACTTTATGCCCTGTTCTCGCTCTCTGGCCCTAGAAAGGGTTCATTCTAAGTCTGAAAACAAATTATCAATGCCGGAAGTTACAAGGCACTTTAAACATAAACATGTTAATTCATATATTGGCTCTAAAACTACGAAAGGTCAAAGAAACAAGACTTCACTGTTGTAGATGAAGCACAAAAAACTCTCAGTTGATCAACTCATAGGAAGTTTCCACATGAAAAAAACAAGAGTCTCTCCTACTTCCTCTGAAACTAGAACTATACATGAAAAGCTTCACAGAGTGAGCAAGTGGGGTTGTAGTATCTGTTCTAAAATATAAGAAAAAGGTGGGAGACGTCAGACAAGCGAGTGTTGCAATACTCATCCAAGTAAGCCAAACACGCACATTTTAGAGTGTTTTAGAAGGTATCACACCACAGTGACTCTCAGAACGTAACATTGAAGACTTATCTGCATCAAAATAAAATACACTTGTGGAAAATATTCTTTAAAAAGCATATATGCGGCTGGAGTGATAGTACAGCAAGTAGTGCTCTGCCTTGCATGCGGCCAAATGGGGTTCGATACCCGATATTCCATATAGTTCCCTGAACAACGCCAGGAGTAATTCCTGAGTGGAGAGACAGGAATAACTCCTAAGCATCTTCTCCAGGTGTGACACAAAAAGCCAAAAAAAAAAAAATGCATATGCAATTGCCATTCCTCCCCCTAAACAAAAGCTTTTATTTCTAAGAGCCTTACTATAGAAAAGTTAAATACAAATGTCTCTTAAGCACAGCGGTGGAGCTGTGAAAGACATTGGGCCAAAGAGATTGTACAAGAGGCAGAGAGCCTGCCATGCACGCACTCAACCCAGGTTCAATCCCTGGCACCCCATGCGGTCCCCTTAGCACCACCAAGAGTAATTCCTGAGTGCAGAGCCAGGAGTAATCTCTGAGCACCGCTGGGTATGCCCCTGCAAACCCCAGATAAAAAACACACACACAAATGATGGATTTTTTTGAAGCAAAGGCAATGAAACATTGAAGGCCAATAATTCTGCGTTGCCTACTTGAAAGCTGTTAAGAATAAATCTTAAAAGTTCTCCTTGGAAGAAAAAAAATTGAGAGCCAGAGAAATTAATACTGTGAGTAGGGCATTTGCCTTTGCCCCCTAAGAGTCACCAGGCATAGCCACAGAGGCCACCAGAGCACAGCAAGGTATGGCCCTGGCAGTCCAACAGTGCAGAACCCTGGGCAGAACCAGCCGTGGGTTCCAGCATTCAACAACGGCCCGCTTGGTCAAGCAGTGCTGGGAGACCCTTGGTCCCTGGATCCTGGATCATCTCACCTTTGAACCCAATCACCTGAGCACTGCTTGGGAGCCCCCCTCCCCCCCCCGCCCAATTATCTTAAAAAGTAAAAAGTTGGGGAGAGGCCAGAGAGAGAGAGAGCACAGGAATTAAGGTTCTGGCTTTGCACACAGCCAAATCTGATTCAATTCCTAGATCTACATATGATCCCCCAAGCAGTGCCAGGAGAGATCACTAAGCATAGAGCCCTGAGCACTGCCACATGTGATAAAACACAAACACACAGTTTACTATATTGTGGTAATCATTTGCAATATATACCAATATCCAAATAGGCTGTACTTTTAAAATTAATGTAATGCTGTATGTCAGTTGTACTTCAATTTTTAAAAGGGGGGAAATATAACTTTATTTCTAATTCTTTTAAAATTACTCCTTTCCATAAAGGATCTAAAATAACTTAGAAGAAGATAGGAAATATAAGATTCAGTGAGCTGTCACTGTCACTGTCACTGTCCTCCCGTTGTTCATTGATTTGCTGGAGCGGGCCCTGCAATGTCTCCATTTTGACACTTGTTACTGTGTTTGGCATATCAAATATGTCACAGGTAGCTTGCCAGGCTTTGCCGTGCGGGCAAGATACTCTCGGTAGCTTGCCAGGCTCTCCGAGAGGGACGGAGGAATTGAACCTGGGTCGGCCAGGTTGGCCGCGTGCAGAGCAAATGCCCTACCTGCTGTGCTATCACTCCAGCCCATTTAGTGAGCAGAAGATAAAAATTTGAAGTATAAAGTTAGAATGAACAGGAAATACGTATGCAAAGGTTACATCACACTGCCCAGCAGAGCTGAGTTTCAAGCTGGCTCCCAGACATTTCAAAGTAAGGTGGACAATGAAGACACAGACAGTGACATCACTTTTGTTTTAAATTGGGGGGACATGTGCTGTGGGTTGAATCCAGGGCTTCACACTTGTGAGACATATGCTCTACCACAGAGTCACATCCCTGGCGCCAATGCAGTGTTTCGATTTTGCTCATTCATTTGTACAGGCCAAGCATTCTTCAAGGCACTAGGAATACAGCAGGGATAAAACCAAGTCCTGTTTTCACAAAGTTTCCGTTCTAGACAGTTCTTTAGAACACATGAAAGTGTTGTGAAGAAATAAAAAGCCTGATAGAGAACAGACACTTTCAAATAAACTGGAGAGCCAGAGGGACCATTCGAGCAGGCCCCTGGGTCAGAGAACACTCGGAACTGCAGAGCAGGAGTATCAGCAGCAACTGCAGAGAGAGCAGCAACTGCAAAGAAGCCAGGGTAGAAGTGTGCTGTGCAATCTGGACCCCGGGAGTGGCACAGATGTTTCAAGTGAGTGAGTGGCGGTGAGAGCACGGGACAAAAAGCTGGACCTTGCCGGCCACGATGCAGATGATTTTATCCCTAACAGATTGGAAACCATTAAAGACTTCTGGTGAAGGTTAAGGAGAAGAGACTCTAGTGGGGCAAAAGTCAATGGCAGACGCCAGTAGAAGATTACTGGGGTGGTCCAGGCAAGAGCTGATGATGGCCTCATGTGGGGTAGCACAGCAGCACTGTCCTCCCTTTGTTCATCGATTTGCTCGAGCAGGCACCAGTAACGTCTCCATTGTGAGACTTGTTGTTACTGTGTTTAGCATATGGAGCTTTCCAGGCTTTGCCATGTGGGTGAGATACTCTCGGTAGCTTGCTGGGCTCTCCGAGAGGGGCGGAGGAATCGAACCCGGGTTGGCTGCATGCAAGGCAAACAACCTACCCACTGTGCTATCGCTCCAGCCTTGTCTGGGGTAGTGATAGAAATTCAGGGTGTGGGGCAAACACGGAGCCACAGGGACCAGGAGCCAAACATGGACAAGTAGGGAACCAGCCAGTTGATGATGCTGCCTTGACTGAAATGCGAACATGGGAGAGGAGGTGTGGAGGCTCAGGAGGGAAGGATTCAAGCTGAGAATCACCCTAGAACAACTTAACAGAGCTCAGGAAGCTGGTGCAAAGAGCAGGAGCATAGGCTCTGTGTCGGGGGGAAAACCAGTTTCAATCCCTGGCACAGTGACAGGAGCAGGCCCCCAAGTGTCACACCAAGGAACAGCCCTTGAGCACTCCAGCTGTGGTCCCCACACCCAAGTAAGTCCAAAATAGAACCCAATAATTTACAAGTCTAAATGAAAGGAGCTGACTGCTAGACTATTGTATACAAACACAACCATCAAAGACAAGGAAAATCGTGGTCTGGGCTGCAGCTCCATATGAAACTGCACGCTCTGTGTCCCTATCCGGGGCTTGACTGAAAACAGACATAATTAAGATTTTTCTAAAAAAATATTCCCAGGCTAGCCACAGCTTTCTTTAAACTGAGTTACAGTTTAAAATTTCCAGGCGGTGCCTGTATACTTCAAGTGACAGATCCAATCCAGAGACCGGAAAGAATCTCTCCAACTTCTGTTGTCTTGGAAAAACCTCGGCGCAGGACAAGTCCAGGGCAGGTGAGGAGCCACCAGGGGCTGCAGTACAGGAAGTGGGGACAGGGAATACTTCACAAGTATCCACGACAGGCTCTGCAAGGAAAGCCACGTGGGGTGGGCAGGGTTACTCCAGGGTGAAAGAAACAGAGTGACCAGGAGGAGGAGAAGCAGCAGGATACCAGGACTGGCCCTTGCCGCCCCTTCAAAAGAGTCGGCAACATGAAGGAGGTTTGGGGGAGAGCAGGGAGAGCGGCCAGACAGGTTTCACGTCTGTCCCTTACGAGAAGGAGCTCCCTTCTGAACTTCCTGTCCAAGACTCTGACCAATGTGTGGATCACTGAGAAATGGCATCTTGGGAAATTGAGGAAGGAGAAGGATCAGGAATTCAATATTGAGAGAGGTTTAAGAGTCCCAGGGACCAGTCATAAGGAAAAGGCAGACATCAGGGTACCTTCTCATCCACGCACATAGCCCTATCATAAACCCACAGGCACTTTGGTGGCAGATGGGAGAACAGAGACATTTTGGAAAACGCCCCAAACGAAACATCTCATTACTAAGGTAATGTTACATCCAAATGGACTTAGTTACTGTTTTGCACTAAACCCCTACCACAAACCACCCCTACAGCACCCCTCCACCCCCCCCACCCCCCACACACATATATTAAAATTCAGCACCTGAGCGAGGCTATTATCTGAAATAAAATAAGTACCTGCAGTTATCACAAGTTGCCAAGTCAAAGTGGTTCATAAGGTAGGAATCCATAAATTCTTTACCACATTCTTCACATAAGGTATAATCAAACTCCATGACAGGCCCTAAGGAGGAGAGTTAATCCTTTAATGTTACCTCTTGTGACTAAAGCAGTAAACAGGCCACCATTTATTAGTTTTTGTTTTCTTGGGGGTTTTTTTGGTTTGGGGATCAAACCTGGTGATGCTCAGGGATCACATCTAATGGGAATCAGGGGGACCATATGGGGTGCTGGGTGTTGAACCTGGGTCAGCCCTGGCAAGAAAAGCGCCCTATCCACTGTGCCTGGTTTATCCATTGTATCAGCTTTTGTATCACTGTATCATTGTATCATTGTATCAGCTTTTCTAGCACTATCTAGCATTATTCTAGCATTATCTAGCATATCCACCTGACACAAATCCATTAAAAAGAGAAAATAAAACCTTGATTCAGCAATCTTAATGAAGATTGTTTAAAAGACTAAGATTTAAAAAAAAGATAAAAAACACTATCAAACCATATGTTTATAGTTTATAGTTATATATATATATATATATATATATAGTTTTATACTGTTGCTGTGACAAATCAGCAAGAATTTAGTGGTCACTGTCACTGACTTGTTACTGTGTTTGGCATATCGAATACATCACGGGTAGCTTGCCAGGCTTCGCCATGCGGGCGGGATAGTAGCTTGACGGGCTTTCCGAGAGGGGCAGAGGAATCGAACTCGGGTTGGCCGTGTTGACTGCATGCAAGGCAAAGTGGTCAAGACAACAGAAATCGCCACAGCTTTTGCTGAGATGGTGGGCCCATCTCAGCAGGCCACAGCAGGGCTACGTTCCCTTTGGAGTCTTGAGGGAGAATCCACTACCCTGCACCTTCTCCAGCCCCGGGGCTCCCTGCACCCCATCCCTCCTGAACACCTCTCCACCTTCAAAGCCAGCCGCAGCAGCTTCTTCTGCCTCCCTCTCCCTTTCACTGTCCTGGACCTCCCTCTGCCCTGGGATTATACTGGGCCCCCCTGGAATATCCACAACCCCCCACCCCAGGTCTTTCTCCTTAACCACTGCTGTAGAGCCCTTTGCTACAGGAGGCAGCATGTTTGCAGGTCCCAGGGGACTAGGACGTGGACATTTTCGGGGATGGGCACTGGGTCTACCACGATGCTCTTCAAAGAACAAAGGCAACTGGCCCCAATGTATGAGGGTGGCGGGGGCCGCTAACCAGAGGGAAGGCAGACACTAACGGGGAGCCCAGGAAAGAGCCGGGCAGTAGAAGAGAGACAGAACAGAATTCAAATTCCAATTGAAGAAACTTTTCCTCTCTGTTTCAACCCCTGTCAAGGGAGCATACGATTTCCTATCCATTCGTCTCAATCACTAGATTGTCTCAACCACTAGCTCAATAATGCAACAAATTTTGGGTTTTTTTTTGGTTTGTTTTTTTGCCACATCCAACTGTGCTCAAGGCTTACTCCTGGCTCAGTGTTCAGGGATCAGTCCTGTGGGGCTCTTGCCCATGGTACTATCACTCCAACAGATTTTTTTTTTAAGCCAATGCTGGTGGCTATTAATTTTACCATCAAATAAAACTGTATTTTTAATCATCTTGAAGAATATAATAATACTCATACACTGAGGATACATAGACATAAGTGATTTATTGAAGTTTTAATCTTAGATAATAAGTTCTCTTATGCCAGGTTTCTCTATCCTAAGCACTGTAAAAATCCTTTTTTTACCTCCAAAAAATATATAAACCACTGTTTTAAGAAATGTTTTGTGTATTTAGGCTCCTCATGAGTCTATCAAGATGAATAGTCAGCCTGGGGCTGGAGAGATAGCACAGCGGGTAGGGTATTTGCCTTGCACGCGACCGACCCAGGTTCGATTCCCAGCATCCCATATGGTCTCCTGAGCACCGAGCCAGGAGTAACCCTATGCATCGCCAGGTGTGACCCAAAAAGCAAAACAAAACAAAACAAAAAAAAGATGAATAGTCAGTCTACCATACCAGTCAATATACTGGCTGAACCTGCCTGTTAAAAAACAACAGAAAAGGGGCCAGGAAGTGGTTGAGCACCTGCCTTGAGCATGTAAGACCTTGGGTTTGATTTCTGCACTGTAAAGATCCCTGAGCACCAGCAGGAGAAAAGCACAGGTGGGTGTAGCCTAAAAGTCAAAAGCAAACACAGAGAGTATCGACCCTAATACACAGCCACAGCTAAACTAATAATCATGACCAAATTTAATATTTAAACCTGGCAGCCACTGTGCCAAACTTCATCACTACTCACCAAAGTGTGGCCTTATCTAACATGAATTCCCAAAGAATTAATACATCTTAACTAATACCTTAAAACAACCAATCTAAATACGAATTTTTTGGAAAATGCACTTTACCTGGTTGATGCACTACATTTTCAATTTTATGTGTCTGTTCTTCTTCCTCCTCTAGAATGAAGCCTCCTCCTGTGTCAATGATCTTCGGGGCTGCTTTGACATTAGCCACACCTGCACAGAGAAATTAAAATAAAAGCAGTCAACCAGTGAACCCAGGGGCCAGAGAGCTACCTCAACTGGCTGAGCACACACTTTGCTTGCAGGGAGTCCTGTTGTATCCCTGGCACTACTTGATGTTCTGAGCACCTCTAGGAGTGACCCTTGAACACAGAGCCAGGAGTAGCCACTGAGTCCATGTTCAATCAAATCAAATAAATCTGTGTGTCCCACATACAAACACAGGAACTTTTTTTACATTTTATATGTAAAAAAGAAAAAACAAGGCAAGGATGCCACTACCACTTCTATTCAACTGTATGCAGAAGATCCTAGCTAGAGTTTACAGCAAGAAAAGAAAATGGGCCGAAAGGTTAGAAAGAAATGAAACCACCTTTCACAGATGGTATCACTGTGTATGCTGAACATCTACATGAATCTTCAACTTGAGTTACAAAATAACACACCTAGAGAGGTATGTGTAAAAGCTCTTCACTGAACACCTTACCAAGAGAAACCAGGTAACTAAACAGATGGGGAAATAGTCCCATGGTCAGATTAGAAACTTGATACTATAAAGATACCAATTCTCCCCTTGCATTGTGTAAGTCCTGGTTTTGATTCTCAGCGACAGAGAGAGAGAGAGAGAGAGAGAGAGAGAGAGAGAGAGAGAAGAGTTGGGGACCAGGGAAATAGCTTAAAGGGTTAAAGGGTTTGCATTCTAGGGGCCTGGGTTCAACCCTGGCACCACATGGTCCCCTGAACACTGTCCAGAGTAGTTCCTGAGCATTGCTGAGTAAGGCCCAAAACAAACAAAAGAGAACATTTTAATTGCACAATACACTGAAATAAAAGAACAGCAAAGATCTCCCCTAACCCCTAAAGCACAACAGGTTGTATGTATACAAGGCAACTTCATTTCCTGGGCGTAGCATTCTTATAAAACATTCATCTTATCTTGCATTCCGTGTTCAGTTTATTTCCTTTGGCTGTGTTTCGAACCCCTTTTGCACAACCATTCAGAAACCTTTGTGGAATCATGAATATGTTCAATGCAAATGAACGTTTTTGTTCTAACTCTGGCACCTCAAGTTGATGAAGCAATTAAGCGCTAAGGACTATCAGGCCCTTGCAGCTTCTGACGTGTGTTCGCGTTTGAGGTTTTGGACCACATCAAGCAACACTCAGCTCCTTTGGGCTTTCGGCCCAGCTCCCAGCTTCCGATTTTCAGCTTGGGAAGGTAGCTGTTCTGAAAAAGTGACAAGACAAGCCCAGAACCAAAGTCTCCGGAGGACCCAGCATGAATCCTAAGACATGCAGCCAGCCAGACTCCTGTCCCTGTCCCTTACTTCTGGCAGATTACAGGGACAGGAGGCAATCATCACTCTAAACAGCATGCAGCTGCTCAGTTAGTATGGGAGAACACTATAAGGACTGAAAGAACCGCATGTCACCCAAGCTATCCCTGGGGTCATGCGTGGAGTATCTGACCCAAGCAGAGATTCACATGAGCCACAAGAAACATGATAAGCAGACAGCCCCCCGGGGCTGAGCACTTGCTTTGCAAGCAGGAGGCCTGGGTTGGATCCCTGGTACCACATGGTTCCCTGAGTATGCCAAGATCCAGCCCCAGATTGGATAGAGCCCGGAATGGCCTAAAACATAAAGAAAAAGAGAAAGCAGGTGAGAAGAGAGGTGGGCAGGTCTATGAGAGAGTCCAGACCAAATTAATGCAAGCAGCACCTTTCTTCCCAGGGAGAGAGAACCCTCGGGGGTCAAGTGTTGCCCTGATTATTAGCCTTGCTGGGATGAACCTGAGCAAATCCCCTTCCTTTCCTAGTCTTTAATTACCACCACGCAAGCCGCGGGGTCCCCAAACCCTGCCCTAATTCACAGCAGACGAGCGACGTGATGCAGGGGGTTCCCGTGAGCCGCGGGTGGTGGTTCTCCCACCGAGGCCGAGCTGCAGAAATGGGCACGCACCGGGTCGGGTCGGGGATGCAACCAGCGCGCGCGATGCGCCGTGCTGAGCAAAACGCTTGAGGGAAGGGGGAGGGAAGGAGCGGCAGGAGACTGCAGAAAAGGCATCTTTTTTGTGTGTCTGTTTGCTTTGTTCAAGTTTTCTTTTTTAAGCCCCGCCCGGCATTTGCGAGCCCGGTGGGGGTAGGGGAGGGAGGCGGAGAGAGCCAGTCGGGATGCCGGGGATCGAACCCCGGTCTGCTTCGTGCCAGGTAAGCAAGCGCCCAAGCCGGTTCTTCCTCTCCGTCTCTCTCCAGAATTGGGACCTTCAGCTTCACTCGGGGCCACCCCCGCGCCGGGGCGGCAGGCGGCAGGCGGTGGCGGACACCTCCCGGCGACGAGGGATGCTGCATTCCCCGCCCCCCGCCCCCCGCCCCCACCCCGCCAAGCCCAACGGGTGGGGAAAGCCCGGGGCTGGGGCGCGGAGCCCTGCGGCCCCCCATCGCACAGCTCCCGAGGAGGCGTGCAGCCGGGAGGGGTGTCAAGGCCACCCAAGGGAACCCGGGCGCCGGGAGGAGGACGGGGCGGGGGGCGCGGCCGGGCACCAAACCTCCGGTGGTAGCAGTCGCCGCCGGGTAGGGCCGGGCTGTCAGTCGGGCCTGGCGCAGCATCAGCGCCCGCTGCCGCTTGCGCTCGATGCTCGCTCGCACCGACGCGGGCAGCTCCGCGGGCTGCGCTGGGGCCGCGGGCTCGGCTGCAGGGGTCCCGGCCGCCTCCATCTCCGAGCCGGGTCCCAGCCGCCCGGCCAGCCCCGCGCGCACGCGCACTAGCGCCTCCGAGCCCGGCCTGCTGCGCGGGGCGACCGCGGCTTCCTCCGAGCCGCCAGGGGGCGGGAGCGCGCCTGCGCGGTGAAGGGAGCCCGGGCGGAAGTGCAGCGGGGGCCATGGGAAAGGGGACCGGAAACGTCCGCGCCTCCGGATGCCGGAAGCGTTGTTTCGGCCCAGACTCCTCGTCAGGGATGTTTCCTGGTGGTGAGGATCCGAGGGGTCAGAACTGGGCTGAGACCTAGCTGCAGCTCCGACCCGATCTGCGAAAACCTCGAGCAAGTTGACCCGAGTTCCGTTTCTTTGATAGTAAAATGAGGCTGATTGCGGAAGTACTTCCCAGGGCGTTGGGAAGAGTAGATGAAACAAGGACTTTAGGGATGGCAGCTGGTATTAATAGTGTCGTTAGAGAAAAACCAATAGAGCATCTCGCTGGCTTTATTTTGGTCCTATGGCCTGAGGGGCTGAGTCTTGAAATAAGACCTTCGTTCTGGCTTTCATTTGCTCCCCATCTCCTACCCTGTCCTTTTTGCAGGCTCCAGCTCTGTTTTCCCCCGCAGTACTTTTTCAGGGCGAGTGAACTGTAACCAAGTTGAAATGACTTGGATTTGGGCCAGATAGTCTCACTGCCCAGAAAGGTGGCAAGTTGCAAGACAAATAATTGCATGCATTAGCAAAAATTGTATACTTTTTGAAACTGATGTCGGTGGGCCCCATGGGTGACTTATGTGACGGTCTTATGTGATGGGTGACGGTCACTTTCTCCCCATCCGGCTCTGCCACCCGAGACCCAGGGTTACTGCGTTCTTGTCTTTCCTCGCAGAAAAGAATTTCAGGAGTAGACAAGCAGCGAAGTAAATAGATTTTATTTGGAGGGCTTTTGAAGGTGTGGAGGGAAGAGAATGTGAGAGAGAATGTAGCATGCTCAAGAGAGAACAGAGGCTTCTCCAAGGGTGGAGAAAGAGCCCCTAGACACATCCCAACATTGGGCACGAAAGCGTGAAAGTACATATCGCAAGAGGGGAGATGCGGGTGACACATGGGTTCGGCCACATGGGCACAAGCAGCACATGGGCTCTGCAGCTTAGGCGCGCTCTTGCTTTGTTCAGGGTGGCCTTTATGGGTTTCTCCAACCTGCCCCCAGGTTGGGTTTCTTCCTAGGTAGAATCTGTTGCTAAGGAGGTTACCAGGGGGGATGGGAATGGTGATGGTCTTATTTGAAATTCCTTTCCTGGCCTATTGTTCCGCAGGGCTGGCTTTTGCCCTTGCCTTGGGAGGGGGCCTTCCCTGTCTACCTTCCTACATCAAAATGAGTCAGAAAGAGAGGGACAGACATAGAAAGATTGCATTTATTTGTGGAATATGAAGTAACAGAACGGGAGACTTATACCAGGTGAATTGCTTCACGGCTTGGAAGTTGGCCTTACGTGCTGGGGGAAAAGGCAGCTCAGATAGAAAAGGGACCACCAAGTATGGGGTGCTCGGAGGGCCCCCTTGGGATGGAAGATGCGTGCTGAAAATAAACTACAGACCGATTTATGGCCATTGAATAACTATTGCAAACCACAACACCCATAAGGAGAGAGATAGAGCAAAAGGGAATGCTCTGCCACAGAGGTTGAGGGGGGGGTGTAGGAGGGATACTGGGACCATTGGTGGTGGAGAATGGGCACTGGTGAAGAGATGGGTACTCGATCATTGTATGACTGAATCATAAGTACAAAGTTTGTAAGTCTAGCTGTACCCCACGGTGATTAATTTTTAAAAATTAATTTTTAAAATGTATACTTTTATTTTTATAAATTATATGTGTTGAATAGCACAGCGGGTAGGGCGTTCGCCTTACAAGCGGCCAACATGGCCGACCCGAGTTCGATTCCTCCGCCCCTCTCGGAGAGCCCGGCAAGCTACCGAGAGTATTCGATATGCCAGACACAGTAACAACAAAGTCTCCAATGGAGACGTTACTGGGCCCGCTCGAGCAAATCGACGATCAACGGGAGGGCCTTTACCTTTACCTATGTGTTGAATACATGATGTATTAATAACCTGGGTTTTCTCTGGTTAAAAAGCACAAATAAATTTTTATTGGTGTAGGAACCAGAGCACAAACTAATTACACCGTTTAGTATCATTTTTAGAAAATCCAACCTGATCTCTTGATTGAGGTCTGCCAATAATACTCAATGGTTAAAGTTTGAAAAATACAACCTAGTGGGTAGGGTGTGAGAGAGAGAGAGAGAGTGTACAAGGGGTAGGGCATTTGCCTTGCAGGAAGCCAACCAAGGTGCAGTCCTCAGAATGGTCCCCTTAGCACCACCCAGAAGAAATTCCTGACTGCTGTGCCAGGAGTAACCCCTGAGCACTGCTGGGTGTGGATCAAAAGAGAGAGAGAGAGAATCAACTTCTCCAGATGAAAGAGAGCCCAAAGTACCTGAAGAAGTGAAAGAGAAGAATTACACATCCCACTTTGAATTTCTGGCAACCCCAGAATGCTCATTTCTTGCTTTTGCAAAGTTGATTTTATGAAGTTTTTCCCAAGCTGCCCCTGCTTGGGACTGTCTAAATAGGCCAGTGTGTTGTTCAGGTATTAATCAAGGGGAGAAACTTTGAACTTTTGTGGTTCACTTTTGGTGCTCCATCAAGTCCTGTCATGCAGATCATGTGGACCTCAGATGTGGTTTGACAGCTATTTTTGGGGGGCGGGGGCACTTTACAACTCTAGTGTCCCATAGCAGTCCTAACACTGCTCTCTCCAGTATAGTACAGGGCCTCAAGCAGAAGTAGCTCTTGATCATGGCTCCCCACTTCTGCCACTGACATCAACTCCTTGAAAAAATATTCATCGTTTATCATTATGGAAAGGTAAATCAAAAGTACAGTAAGGTGCCACTTAATATCCATGAATATCACTAGATTTGTTTGTTTTGGGGCCACACCCAGCAATGCTCAGCAGTAGCTCCTGGCTCCACACACAGAAATCACTCTTGGTGTTGCTTGGGGGGTGCATATTGGATGCCAGGGATTGAACCCAGGTTGGCAACGTGCAAGGTAAGTGCCTTACCCACTGTTCTATCTCTCAGGACTAGACTTTTTTTAATAGAAGAAAATGTGTTGGCAAGAGTGTGGCAAAATTAGAACCCTCCAATATTTCTAGTTGAGATGTAAAACTGTACCTTCTGTGGAAAATAGTTCAGTTGTTCTTCAAAAGGTTATGCATAGAGTTACCGTATAGCAAGACATAAAAGTACTGAAAGCAGATGTTCAAATACACTTGCACATAAACATTCATAGTAGCTTTTAATACCCAAAGCATTAAAGCCACCTAGATGTCCATCAAATGACTTGTGACAAATAATGTAGCATAGTTGTACAAAGGAATATTATCTAGCCAAATTAAAGGCCAGGGGCACAGCTCATGCTACCACATGGGTAAACTTTACCTCAAACCATTATGCATTGCTTTTATGTGAAATATTCAGGAGAAGCAATCCAAAAATGGCAGTACATAGAACTGGTTTTCTGAGGAAATCAGAGTAGAGGGGAGAGGAGAATGCTGAATGGCCGCATAGAAAGTATGGAGTCCAGTCAGCGTGATAAAAATGACACTGGTGCTGGAAGAGAGTCTCTGAGAGAGAATTTGGTCTGTTATCGCCAGATTGCCTAAAGTTTCATGAAAAGTAATTTGGGGGCTGTAAAAAGAGTATTGGGTTGGCCTGGGTTGGTCACATGCAAGGGCTATGTTAAGGAGCTTGTCTTGCATGCGGCCAACCCGGGTTTGGCCCCTGGCAACACTTATGGTCCCCCAAGCACTGCCAGGACTGACACCTGTGCGCAGAGCCAGGTGTAAGTCCTAGGTGTGGTCCAAAAACCAAAAAATGTAAAATAAATAGGTAAGTTATAAAATGTTAAAAAAAATTAAAAGTAACTTTCTCAAACTTGAATGCAGATACAAATCACTTGGTGATCTTATCAAAATGCTAATTTGATTCCATTGGTTTATGGGGAGACTGACCCTGTGTGTTATAAACAGGTTTCCAGGTAGGACTTGCGGTTCCACCAGCCCTTCTCTGAACAGCAAGTGCCTCGCAGTTCTCAAACAAGTGCTCCCAGGTGGTCTAGTGGTTAGGATTCAGCACTTTCACTAGTTCTCAAACTTAACTGCATACTGGAAGCACCCAGATTGCTTTAAAAAACACTAATATTTAGTCTCCAAGCACAGACATACGCTATCATTGGTCGGGGGGGGATTTAAATATGAGGGCTGTGTGTGTGTGTGTGTGTGTGTGTGTGTGTGTGTGTGTGTATGTGTGTGAAGTACCCACATCCTTGAATAATTCTAGTGGGCAACAGGCTTTGGGAGCCAGCCCCCTGATGGCTTTTCTTGATTCTACACACTCTTAGTATCTGTAGGTGGATCATTAGATGGGAGGGCAAGGTACCAGTTTTCCCCCAGGGTAACCTTTAGAGAGAGAACAATTAGCTGGGAACCTCCTCCCCATCAAAGCATTGACTCCAGAAGGATGCAGGCCAGAGCTCAGACGGTGTGCCAACCCCATGTTTTGTAACTCTTGACAACTTGTCAGGCTTCTTTTACTGGTAACTCCCTCTCCTTTGGCTTCCTGACCTTTGTGAGCAAGTTTCCTGTGGTTGGGTCTCAATTATTAGGTGACTCTTCAACCAAGCAAAAGGAGATGCTTCCTTTTGAGAAAGGACTGCATGTCCAGATCTGCTCACCCCAAGGGTAACAGGGGCTTGGAGGGTTGGCCCGGCGGGCAGGGCCTGAGTCATCTCGGCGGGGGACAAAAGGAAGACAGACAAGGAGAACAGAGGCTGTGTGCTTGCCTCTCCCCACTCACCAGCTCAGGGGGAAAAAACCTGTGAGGACTTTTATCATCTTGCTTTTTACCACTCTCATCTCACAGAGTGACTCTGATCCCAGCTGAAAGAGGGGTAATTAACCAAGTACAGAAGGGATTGAAAACTCCAACTCAAGTTTGAAAAAAGAGCAGACAGGTGAGAATGGCAGCCAGG